CCCCCGGCCCTTCCCCTTCCGCCCATCCTCCCATTCATATTCCTGCTGCCCAAAATTTTCTTGCTGGACCTCCTCCCAAAACCTCACCAACTCCAAATCAACACCTTGGTCCGGTGGAATTCTCCTTCACCCGACCCCTTCTCCCCTCCATCAGCATTGGGATTTCTTCTGTGCCTGCCGTGCCGGAAGAATCGTTTCTCCTCTGCTAATTTTTTTCTCCCCTCCTCCCGTCCGCCGTTACGCCACGGTCGCCTGCCTGTTTCCCACAGCGCCTGCGATCCTCGCCCTCGGCCGACCCCTTCCGCTCCTTCATCAGAAAGGAAAGGAAACCCCCAACAGGCAGCTTGGTCCTCGTCACCGAGCCCCGCCCCGCCCGTCGAGTCTCTACCGCATTCAGTCGCGCGTTCCCGTCTTTTCGCGAGAGTCTGTGACAGCGCCCGGATTCGCTGCCGCGTCGTTTTTTTCTGGTCACCCGTCGGTCTTTTTCGCCCTCGACCGACCTTGAAAAACCCCCCCAATACTCGCTCGCGTCTCGCCTGCATCGACTTCTTCTCATCAACCCGACGTCCTCTCGCATCGCGAACGACTTCTCCCTTATGACGTCGCCTGCCGATCAGCAGAACCCGATCCCGGCGACCAACACCCCTGCGACCACGGCGACTTCTTATGCCTCCGCTGCAGGTGCGCCCAAGAAGTCTGCTGCACCGGCGCCCGTAGTCGCCCCCGGTTCCCAACCCGCTGTCGTGGTTGGCGCTTCTTCTGCCTCTCCGGCGCAGAATGCTAAGGCAGCTTCGCCATCTCCTCTGAACGGCAAGTCAGCCGTCGCTCCCGCAGTCCCTGCTGTCGCTCGCGGTATCAACGCCGCGAACGGGTCCGCCTCGGACCACTCCCGCAAGAGCTCCGTCACCATGGCTGCCAACGGCCCCAGCAGCTATGCTGCCAACGGCGGTCCGGTCGGCGGTGCCAAGCCTGGCATCCAGTTCGGCTTCGACTCGCCTGCCATGGCCCACAGCACCCCACAGACTGGATCGTCCGCTCCGATCCCCATTCCCGGCGGCAACGCGCGTGTGCCCTCTCCGGCACACTCCCCGTCGCCTATCCCTCAGCCCTCTGCCAGTGGAGGGCGACCTCCCTCTGGCCTCCAGCAGCCCAGTGGCCCAATGACGTTTGGAAGTCTCGGTAGCGATGGCGAGGTGAGAACGTGCTCTCCCTATGAGTATATTTCCTTGTACAATATTAACCCGGATCCTCATCTGCAGCGCCACATGAGACAGGGCTCTGTCCCTCCGAACCCCGGTGCCATGGGCGCGCAGCACGGTGCTCACTTCCGACGTGAGTCCGGCCACTCGGTCCAGAGCGACAACCCCGGCGCCCCCAACCGTGGCAACTTCCAGCCACAGGGCGGCCGCGGCCGAGGCGGCTTCAACTCGTACAACAACCAGATGGGCTACCCCCCCAACAACCAGTTTCGCAATGGCCCTGGCCAAGGACGTGGCATGCCCCCGTCGTTCCAGCCACAGCCCCGAAACATGCCGTACCCGAACTCCCCTCAGCCGAACCGGAGCCCGGCCCTCGTGCCTTCGATGCCGAACACGCCGAACATGGCACCTGCCAACATGCAGCCCAACATGTCGATGCAGACTCCGCCCCAATACCATTATCCGCCCCCGATGGCGCCTCAGCACCAACAAGTACATCCCCCCGTTCCCATTGCTTCCTCCAGCAAGATGCATTTGAAGCCCCACAAGAAAAACAAGGCACGTCGTGAGCACGACAAGCCGTTTCACTCGGGACGTCAGCCGGATTCTGCGCGTGAGCTTCATGGGACCGCCGTCAGCCTTCATCCACGCCGCTACAGTCAACGTGCGGATCAGATGTGGCGCGAGCAAATCATGGGCGGCATGCGTGTGGTATCCAGCGGCGCCTCGAAGCTTGGCTGTCAAGGACAAGAGCCTCGCCCTCCGTTTGTTGCAAATGAAAAGCTACCTCCTTCTATTGATCTTTCTCCGGAAAACGGAGCATTTGAACTTTGGCTGACCATGAAGAATCAGAGCTTTGGCTACCCTCCTCAGCAGATGGACCAATATGGCCGACCCATGTCCATGCCCTACGGCTATAACAACATGCCGTACATGGCGCCTCCCCAGACCAACTCTCCCGGCTACGGTCAGCAGTACGCTCCCCCTCCGTACCATCCTCAGGCCCACAGCATGTCGCGCAGCCCTTCGCAACCGGAGCGGCCCTCGAGTGCGAACCACCAAAACCAACCTGTCATCGTCTCCTCCACCCCCCAGCCTCAGAATGCGCAGCCCAACCCTGCCGCAAAGAACTTCGTCAAGCCGGGGCGGAAGAGCGCTGCGATCGCGATCAAGAATGCTGCTGGCGAGGTTGTGGACACGTCCAGCTTCAAGCAGCCCGCTTCTCCGGGTCCCAGCGGCCAGCCGTCCAAGACACCGCCCGTTGCTACCTCCACTCCAACTCCACCTCCCAAGTCCTCAACTCCCTCCCACGTGCGGACGGACAGCCAAGCCACCCCTAAGACGGCAAAGGAGATCCAGGACGAGCTGAAGGAGAAGATCAAGCAAGCTACCCAGGCTTCCTCTGCCGAGAGCAAGGCCAAGGAGGAACCTGTCGCTACCGCGGCGAAGTCGTCCCCTGAAGCGGAGACCCCTGCTCCGGCTACCGAAACCGCCAAGGCCGATGTTCCTGCTCCTGAGGCAAAGGCCGAGCAACCCAAGGCTGAGGAACCCAAGAAGGCCGAGGAGCCCAAGAAGGCCGAGGAATCCAAGAAGGCTGAGGAGCCCAAGAAGGCTGACGAGGCTAAGCCTGCCGAGCCCGCCAAGAGTGCCGACCCCGAGGAGGATGAAATCGAGCGCATGATCCGCGAAATGGAGGAGGCTGATGCCCTGCGTGAGAAGAAGGAAGAGGAGCACCGGAAACAGCGCGAGATCGAGAAGGCTGCCGCGAAGAAGAAGGAAGAGGAAGAGCGCAAACTCAGCGCCGCCGATCAAGACCGCAAACTCCGAGAGCAGGAACGCGAAATGGAGCGCCTCGAGGAGGAGAAGGAGCGGAGACAGAAGGAGGCCGAGGCATCTGGCAAGTCGGTGTCCGTCGCCGATGCCCTGGCTCAGCTGCGTACGGGCAATGAACCCGAATCATCCAACGTGGATTCCGTCACCGACAAGCTTGCCGACATGAGGATCGAGGGCGACGCGGCCGCTGATGCTGCCCAGAAGCCCAGCGCCGAGAAGCGCGGATCTAAGCCCGCGGCCCTCAACCTCGCGCCGCTCAACACCAAGCCCGTTGAACCGCCGCAGCCGAGCGCTGCCCTCCAGTCTCTCAAGTCGGCTCGTTTCCTGCAGGTCATGGACCAGGGTATCTATCCCGAGGGCATCAGCTCGCCGAACCCTGCTCTCAACGCTGCCGTCACCAAGAAGGGCAAGACCTTCAAGTACGACGCCAACTTCCTGCTGCAGTTCCAGAAGGTCTTCACGGAGCAGCCCTCGCTCGAGTTCCACCAGCAGGTGAAGTCGCTCATTGGAGACAGCGATGGCCGTTCGCGTGCTCAGACACCTGGCCCGAGAGTGAACTCGCGCGGCGCAGGGGGCGGTGCCTTCAACATGGGCACTTTCAACGCTCCCATGGGAGGCCGCACCCTGCCTCCTGGGACCACGTCCTCGGAACGGCTGGCCATGGCCAGCGGTACCATGCCCCGCCCCCCCATCAACTCCATCGGGTCATTCAGCGCTCGCTCCGGCGCCTTCCCTACTGCTCCAATGTCGCGAACCTCATCGCAGTCCAACGCACGGAACATGCCCAACTCTCCTCGCCAGTCTAGCCGCTCCACTCGTGGAAGCCGACGCAACGACCACGGTGGTGCCAAGGAAGCTCAGGCTGCTAAGACCATGCCTCTGACTGCCGGCCAAGAGATTAAACCCATCACGGTTTCCTCTAGCGGTTGGAAGCCTACCAGCATCGGCAAGCCCGTTGCGCAGGGTACTCCCGGCGGTTACCTGGATCCTGAGATGGTCCAGAGGAAGGTCAAGGCGGCGCTCAACAAGATGACGCCTGAGAAGTTCGACCGAATCGCTGACCAGATCCTCGAGATTGCCTCGCAATCCAAGGATGAGTCCGACGGCCGCACCCTGCGCCAAGTCATCCAGCTCACCTTTGAAAAGGCTACTGACGAGGCCCACTGGGCATCAATGTATGCCAAGTTCTGCAAGCGCATGTTGGAGACTATGAGTCCCGAGGTCCGCGACGAGCGGATCAAGGACAAGAATGGCAACGTCGTTAGCGGCGGCCATCTGTTCCGCAAGTATCTCCTGAACAGGTGCCAGGAAGAATTCGAGCGCGGCTGGACCACTCATCTGCCCGAGCAGAAGGAATCCGAGGAAGGCGGAGAGAAGGCTGCTGAGAAGGGCGCGGACACGAAGCCTGGTGAGGCGGCCCTGATGTCGGACGAGTACTACATCGCCGCTGCCGCGAAGCGACGCGGCCTTGGTCTGGTTCAGTTCATTGGCGAGCTGTACAAGCTCGGCATGCTTACTGAACGCATCATGCACGAATGTGTGCACAGACTGGTCGACTACAAGGGCGTCCCCGACGAGGCTGAGATCGAGTCGCTCAGCAAGCTGCTCCGCACCATTGGTGCCAACCTGGATCAGACCGAGAAGGGCCGTCCGATGATGGACGCCTACTTCCAGCGCATCCAGACCATGGTGGATCTGCCCGACCTTCCCAGCAGACTCAAGTTCATGCTCATGGACGTGGTGGATCTGCGAAGGGCGAACTGGCACTCGAAGGAGGCCAACAAGGGACCCAAGACTCTGGAAGAGGTCCGCGCAGAGGTAAGTCGAATCGAATGGCAAATGAGATTGCAACGACAGGTCACTGACACTTCTCCTTCAATAGGCGGAGGCTGCCCAAGCTGCCAAGGCCCAAGAAGCTGCCCGAAGCAACCAGCGGGGTGGTGGCCGCCCGCCGGTCGGACGAGGCGATGCCCGCAACTTCTCCGCGGGTTATGCCCAGCAGACGAGCAACCAGGTCGGTATGGACGATCTGCGGCGTCTCAAGGGATCCGCCAGCCGGACGTCCAGCCAGAACGTCACACTCGGTCCCACCTCGATGTTCTCATCGCGTAGCAACAGCGGTCGCCGCCTTGGACCAGGTGGATCTCTGGGCCGCCCCGGCGAGGACTCTGGAGCTTCCTCCCGAACAGGGACACCCCCTACTCGGGACACCACGTCCAACTCGAACGCATTCAGGTACGTGATCTTTCTACCATCTTCGTATGGCCCAAGCGCTAACTCGCCTTTCACAGCCTGCTGGCAAACATGGAGACCGAGCACCCAGCCTCACCCCCGTCTGCAGGACCTTCCCCTTCCTTGGCCAAGGCTGTCCCCGACAGTGACAAGAAGGAGAACGAATAAGGCATTTCTTACATTCAGCGTCTTGCATTTCGGATGATAGACTCGGTGGGGCTGTGCTCAGTTGTCATTTTTTGCATTTCCAGGCTTTCATGCGACGCATTCTCCAAAAGTTGCACGCGCGTTTCGAATCGATGATACCTCCTCGCTCATAGACCATTTGACCAGGCAGACAGAGACGCAGCCTCCCGCCGCGGGGGAGGGTCCGTGGTTTCCGGACGTGGAGATTCCTTTCTTCAGTGTGTTCATTACTTCATTCGATCGCCGTCTTGTCCATCACCGCGTCTGAGAATCCGACATGGTCGGGGGTGCTTGGCGGGATAGGGACTTGGCTTCGCTTGTCTCCACTGCCTCGGATGCATGGCCTAGGGTGTTGGGTCGCCGAGAGCTGCTACTGCAGCAGCACTCGGCACAAAGATGGGCAGGGCAAGTCCCAAGGACATGCCGCGACGTCAGAATGAGATGAGGGGGGTTGGAGGAGGGAATGGTGAAAAGGCGAAACTGGTCTCCTGCGCAGGATTCGCTTCCGAGAGGCCAAGGACGACCAGGCAAACGAGACCCCGACGATTTCCACGTCTGATGTTTTCCTCCCACTTGGCAGGGGTTGGGCTGCAGCACACGGCCGGCTGTCGCCACGGTCGGCGCTGGAGCCGCAGTCAACCTCATGATGTATCTAGGGCGGACGGACTGGGGCCAGACGGGGTTTGCTTTGCGAGAACGCGGTCTTGCTATTTTTACTGTACAATCATCTAATTTCAGGGAGCATTCGGCCGATTCAAGAGTCGGCGGGAATACATACTTGTTCTGCAAACAGTCTGCGACCTGGAAACCGGGTGTGCAAGTTGGCCGCTTCCCAAAGATGGCTTGCATCGAATGAATGTGATCACGACGAAGCAGTGCTGCCATGAGTTCTGTATGACTGTCATATTTGGTCGTCTCGAGAAGCACACTATGTACCCAGCAACAACAAACCAAGCCCAAATAAACGCCAAAAACTCTCTGGATGCTGCGCAACTATCTGGCTATCGTGCCAGGGTTCCTAAGTCACCAGCAAAGCAGAAACCCATGCGGAACAAGCAAGTTAGTGAACCCCGAATGCGACGACACGCTTCTTCCCATACTCTCACATCAATGCAAAAAGGCCAGCGACATCCAGCCCTCCATCATGAAGCACCGGCCGCAAGCAACTGATTGAAGCCCAGCTTCGCGAAGAGCGTGTCCATGGCCACCCACTGTCGCCCGCACTTGTCCAAGTACTTGTCCACTACGCTCTTGACGGTTCCAAACCGTTTGCGGTTGTGCTCGGCCAGTGCGCGGATGTTTTCGCGATCTTGCATGGACAGGTCGTTGTTGGCATCGTCGGCCCTGGCGCGCGCCTTGTCGACGTCCCAGAGGCTGGCAAAGTAGACGAGCTGGTTGTAGATGGCCTTCTCCGTGTATTCGTACCGCATGCGCCCAAGGCAGTCCCGAGCGAGGCCCTTGGGACCGAGGCAGCGGTTGCCGTAGACGCTCATTTGGCGGGTACGGTTGCCGCACTGGGCTTCGTCGCAGACGAGCCAACCCTCGTAGTAGCGGGAGGTTTGGGTGCGGATCGCATGTTCGACCTGCGCGACGATGGACAGTGCAGGAATGACAGAACCGCAGGCCGCGCAGACAACACCCGAAGCGGACACGCGCTCAGGAGATGTGACGAGGCCCTCGAAGGTTGAGCTGGCTTTGCACTTCCGGCACCGCAGAGCCAGTCTCGAGCAGTCGCCGAACCGCACTTCATCGGGGATCTGCGACTCGAGAGGATGAATCTCCATGTCGTTGCTGGCACCGCCGTTGTGCGTCTGATGAGAGCTATATCGACGGATGTCCAAGCCAAGCTGCTCGGCGAGCTGGGATGTAGACGTGCCAACAATGTTGGCGCATAGACGTTCGACAGGAGGAAAGATCTGCTTGCCCAGGTACCACTCCACGTCAGGCTGTAGTGTTGAATCGGACTTGAGATCAGCTGGTGAATACGCCCGCTTTGGGGCCGGCTCAGAGCTCTGAGAGTCTCCCGTGATGATGTACGAGACGACGTCACCCTTGCGAACCGTCTTGCCGCGAGCGATGTCGCGGAGAGCGACTTGCACCTGCGGCATCGAGTCGGCGTTGGGATAATCCTGGGGAGCCTTGCCAAGCTGCGTATATATAATATACTTGGGCGTTGGAATGGCCTGCTCACGCATCTTGCTAGCAATGTCGCGCAAGTACTCGTGGATGCGGGCTACGGCCACTTCAGCCTCGTCTCCTGACAGAATCTCGTCTAGGAGGTGCTTGGAGATTTCTTTGGATAGAGCGCAGTACTCGCGACGCCGCATATCCAGTCCCTTGACCTCCATCTTTTCGATGTATTTGCCGTCCTTCTCAACCAGGTTGATAGCGGCATACTTCTTCTTCGCTTGAAGCAGGATACGGCGGAAGACATTGTCGATGTCGATCTCGAGCAGCTTGTACTGGTCGTTGACCGCCTTTTTGAACTCGTTGCCGACCTTGAACGCGTCGGCGACGCTGTCGACATTGGCGTTGATCATGACAGAGTCGGTGTCACCGTAAATGACTTGAAGTGACTTGCTTTCAGCAAGCTCTTTGGTGCTGCGAAGAATCTCACGTCCCTTGTACGTTGTGAGGACAGCCAGAGGTCTGGCATAGAAACGGGACTTGGTGTAACCCAAGCAGCCGTACATCGAGTTGGCAGTGAGCTTGAGGGCCAATTGCTTGATGTCCCAGGTCGCGAGTTGCTCCGGCGTGGCATTTTTGTCCTTCATGAGCGACTTGACTTGGCGACGACGACCAACCAAGGTTGCGATGAGCCTCGGCAGGATGCCCTGTTCCTGGTTCACAGGCACCTCGGGAACGTCATCTTCATCACCAGCCTGCAAGTTCCGTTAGCAAAGTCTCTCAGAGAAAGGTTGCCATTACAGTGCGTACCGAAGCAGTGCGGTCCACTGTAGTAAAACAAATGTTGAACTCCTGGATGATGGACGGGTACAGCGAGTTGAAGTCCATGACGAGCACAAACTTGTCGTACAGACCCTTTTCGGGCTCGAAGACAAGGCCACCCTTGTACTTGTCCTTTTTCTTGCCCTCACCGCCGTCCTCGTCGCGATTTTCTTCCTCGGCCTTTTGCCGGCCGCGGAATGTCTGCTTGTCCGGACAAATGTATTTGTTGCGGTGGAATTCGTGAAGCAGAATGAACTCATTTCGCTCAGCCCTGGTGCCGGTGAGGGTACGGGCCCATGAGTTGCCTGCCAGATTCGTAAGAACCTTGGTCAGGGGCAGAAGCTGGACGCCGAGGGCCAGAGCAGCTATGTAATGGGTGTCTGCTTCCATGTGGGTAATGTAGTCCATCAGGCCTTGTTTCTCCTTGGCCCACGACTTCAAAGCGACTTCATTGTCGATGTCTCGTCGCCTATTGTCTCCGGCCAAGTAGAGACTACACATCTCTGTTAGACTCCACGTCTGGCACTTGAACATGGCTGATCGGCCAGCATCGTTGGCGAGATCGCAAAGCAACCGACCGGCCATGATTTGACGTTCTGCAAAGACGTTTCCGCCCACCTTTGTGATGGAAGCTGGCCACTGTGTCCGTCTGAGTCGCCCGAGTCTCGACCACTGATTTATTTTCCTCTCATGCAGGCGGTTCAGGAGGACACTGTAGTCAACGCCCTCCAGCTGGTGGCCGAGGATTACGTCAGGGTCGGCAACATCGACCTGGGCGAGGAAGAAGCTCAGAATGTCGGACTCGGTCTTCTGCAACTTGATCAAGCCCCTGTTCCTTTTTTGCGCCAGTTGCTCAAAACCAAGTGGAAATCCCTGACCATGAGGTCTGATGGCCGTGAAAGTCCTGCATGGCATCTTCTCTGCTGGTGTGGTGTCGCTGAGGAGAACTTTGTCGTAGATTCGTGCACTGATGGCAAGGATCTCTTGCTTGTTCTCCTTGGCATTGAAAGCTGTCCGAAGAGCGATGCTCATCAGAGTCAGGGGCGGAGCATCCAGATTATCGGAGTCGCTGATCGTAGAGACCATGTTCGGGTGCTCTGCGAGAACCTCAAGTTTGCAGTGGGAAGCATTCTTGATGGCACCGAAGTCGGCGTCTTGGATCTTGAGCCAGCAGGGGCCCATGATATTCTTCCAGAGAACAAACTGTTCGAAGAGGGCTGTGTTGGTACCAAATACGTGCGAGAAGGTCTCGCCAGACAGATTTGATTGCACCTCAGGCTCTGCGTACGTTGTTAGCAACGGCCATTAACAGTAAATGGGTATGTCCTACTTGTGTATCCATAGAGCAGCTTCATGTACTGCGTCTCCTTCGGTATGCCAGGCATTTCGAAGGCGTACTTGCGAGTACATTGCTTGATCTTGTGCATGTTGACCTTCATCTTAGTCATGAGGGCATCGACCTCCTCATAGACGTCGCCCATGCCGACCTCTTCACCGATCTCTTCACCGCCTTCCAGACGGCGTTGCCGGGGCAAAAAGTATAGCTTTCGCAGGATGTTGTCAATCTTGACGAAGCAGCTGACATAGGACTTTGTCTTCTTGTTCAGAACTTTGCCAAATAAACAAAGACTCCCGTTGATCTCAGTGTAGTCCATCCAGAAAAAATTGAGGCTTCCATCTGCTTCAATGGCATCGTTGTGGTCGATTTTACCGATTCCCCTAGTTTCGGTTGGCGAGCTGCTGACAACGTTGAGCTTTTCCGTGAGATCATTCCAGGAGGATGAATCAACGGCATCAGTGGCAGCCTTGAGTGGCGAGGAGCTTGCTGGGGATGGATAAGGCTCTGGCTTCAGCAACCTCTTGACTGGACGAGCTCCTGCCATGTTAACGCTGGCCGACTTGACAGCACCGGCATGAGCCACCTCCATCATATCCTCGTCTTCGTCATCCTGCTGCTCCTGCTTGAGCTGGGCCTTTCGCTCAGCTACTTTAGCCGCGGGCGATGACGGCGCAGGGTCACTCATGGGAACGTTTTGTGTACTTATGGGCTCGTCGTCCATGGGTGGCATGAAGCCGTCATCGCTGTCCAAGTTGGGCGGCGGAGGGGACGGCAGCCGGGTGTCGACACGCTTTTGCCTCTTGATGACAGGCTCAATAACAGGCGACAAAGCGCGAGACTTGCGACGGTCTCCCGACCTCTCGAGTTTCGTTTGCCTAGGCTCGGGCGGAGGTATGTTGGCGTCGACCTCGTCGAGCAGGCCCGCGAGGAAGTCGGTGTCAGCCTTGGTCTTGGCGACCTTGGGCTTGGGCTGTGTCTTGCCGGCTCCCTTGGTGAAGTACTCGCTGATGTTCCGATCGTTGGCATCGCGCTTGGCCAGGTCGTCATCGCGGCTCTTTTTGGCTGTTGAAATGGTAAGCAGTAGGTTCGAGACGGGGCCGAGAGAGTTACGGACAGGCTTTGCTCGGTCTTCCACGAGTCGGCAGCTGGTCCGACTCGCTGTCCGAGTCGTACTGGTGTACGCGATCCCACTCCTCACGGCCATCGTCGGCATAACCCTCGCCATTGTCGTCCACAACGAAGTCGTCTTCGTTCAGCCTCTCACGGACGATCTTCTTGTAGCCGGCTTCATCAACTTCGTCGTAGAGTGCGTCGGTATCTTGGACTTGGTACGTGTCAAAAGCCTTCTTGCCGGACCGGCGCAGAGCGGCAAGCTCCGCGAGCGCGGCCTTGTGGTTGGCCTTGGGCATGATGGGCTGGTGATTATCCGGGTATCATGAAGGCAACGCCGGATGCCAAGCGGGGGTGATGCCGTTGGAAGTGGTGGGTGGTGGAGGAAGTTTAGCAGCGACTGTTGCGACGAGCACAGTTGCACCGGTGCACAGTGGTGGAAGTCGCGTTAAGGTGCCTGGGGGGCACGCGTCGCGCGGGTCGCGACGCGCCCTCGTTAAAGTGCTTTGGGTTGCTTCGCGCTAACACAGGTGGGTGCCTGCACTGGAGGGAGCGTACCTACCAGGTACCTGCCAACCAGGATTCTGGTGCGAAGTACCTCGGGCAACCAGGCACCGACAAAAGCAGTTTATGCAACGCCTCGCAATCATCTTGTGCAGTCCTTGTGCAGCATAAAAAGCATCTCGCGACTTACACGCTCTTTGCACTCCATGCTACACCTGCTTACGAGTACACATCAATTACACTGCTGCTTGTTACGATCTTCACGTCGTTGACTGTCATCACGGGTTGGCAGACCGATCATTATCCACTGGCTTTGAACGCAATGACATGGTGACAGTGTTGAACCTTCCTCACAATCGTAGCTGCCGCGCAGGACCTGCACGCAAACACGGAGCAAGTCCAACCACATGAGGAATGATGGCCTCATACACGCTGCCCCGATAACAAGAGACACTGAGTGCATCAATGCTTTGCTTGTCCAGTTGGCAAGTCCCCGCGACATTCATAATAACCGCCTCCGGCGCCAAGTGGTTAGCATCATCGCCGGAAGGTGGCACCTAGAATCACGGCTGGGCAAACAGCCCGCTCTCCTTTCCGTCCGTCAAACGTAACCATTGCAACTGCCCAGCGAATCGCCGCTTTGAGCTATTACGACTTCTCACTTCACCGTACTGAGCGATCCCAGCAGAGCAACCGCCATCCGCCTTCGTTATCTATCTTGCATGCGTGAGCCCCCATTCCACGTCCGTCACCAGGCACACGCCGCCGTTGCATCAGTCCCCTGGTGTGTCGTTGAGCTAAAGAGTCGTTCTATTGTCGACCTTAGACACCATATCTCACGTCTCGTTTCCGCACATGACTACGACAGCATGTTGTTCAAGAAGACACGTTCGAAGCCAGAAACGGCCGAGCTGAAGCCCGAGGCATCACGCGTCACCAGCTAGCGACTGTGGAAGACGCGATCCCGCGGCCCGTCTAACCCTGCCCGCTCTGCCGACGAGGCTGCTCCGAAGCCGCGTGCTCGACGCTGGTTTTCAACTACTCGGTCACCTAAGGGTCACCACACGAAGGGGAATGAAGGCACCTCGGTTCAGAGTCGACGCAACTCGCAGAGTGTCGACAGCCATCGCCAGGTGTCGCCATCGCCGGATCCGAAGTCATGTAGGTCGTTCGGAAATGATACCGTTGCAACTTGTTCCACCTGCTGATCAACCCTCCCCAGCAGGTCATCCAGTTGTGGTGCGACGCCGCAGAAGCCTGACAAGCGCCTTCCAAACAGTCAAGACGCGGTGCTCTCGCGACAAGCTGAACGACAGCGATGATTCCGGGACTACGAAGCTGCCGCGGTCGTCGGGGGCTTCAAAGGAGTCGACTTTGAAACCGGATGATGTGCAGTCCTGTGCCGATTCCCCACCCCGGCTGGACGTTCTTTCCGAGCTGCCTGGCGATAGCCTGCACCGGTCTTCGACATTCCGCACTTCCCTCGAAAAAGCGGTCGAGGACATCAATGTGAAATACGGCACAGCTCGGCTCCCTGAAAACCAGATGGAGGAGATCGGCAACAGCGACCGCGTATGTAGCACCCGGCCGCACCCGTTCTACGCTCGAAACAATTTCCAGCCAAGATACAGGCTCCCACATTTTGTCAACACCCCCACGGTCCGCACGCAGCCTGTCGTTGGCGAGCTGAAGATGGGGTCACCGTGTTCCTCCAAGCTCACAAGCAACGTGGCTAGCAGCCCTCTCTCTGATTGTCGCACTGAAGAAACCCTGGACCGGGCGGTTTCCAGGACAGAGTGTGCCAAAGGCCAGTCTCCTGTTACAAAGCAAGAGATTCCGGGGTTCGACAACTGCGAATTAGCTCAAGAGGCCTCACCAGGCCCCTCTGATGTCTTGACGGAGCCATTTCCCGATTTCCATGACGGCGAAGCCCATGCCCCAGCTCAACAACAACCCGATGCCTCTGGTCAAAGCGAGCAGTTAGTCGAGGATGACACATGTGAAGCAGAAGTGCATGTCGCCGATGAGTCTTTGGTAATCGCTGACTCCATTCCTGGCACGTTTCCTGCTACGCTTGAGGACGAGCAGCCCCAGACTCGCCGCCCCGATACACTTGCCCCAAACGTCTTTTGTTGGCGGACTTCCCAACAAGAGGACAACTCGCAAGCGGAGGACCCGAAAGATTCCCCAGCCCTAGTCATAGGTCGAGTTCGCGAATCTTCCGATAACTCGGATGCACTGACTGAGACCGACCTGGTGGGCCTGCAGAAAGCGCCCAGCCACGATAGCAATTCGAGCGCCCGCCGTGAGCACCAAAGAGCCCCATCTGTCTCTGAACTCGTCAGCAAGTTTGGCCGGATGGCATCTTCTCGAAAGAGCCGAGACAGCAGCCTGAGTCGCGAGGTGGCTTGGCCGTACCCGGTCGGCAAGACTGTGAGGTTTGGAACCTGCCACCGTAAAATGTCGCTCGATTCCGGGGACTGCGAATCTCAAATGTCTGCATCGGACAATCCCGAAGAAGGCAACATTCGGATTGCCTCAAAATCGAGACGTATTGAGAGCAGCGCGGACAACTCTGGTCGTGATGACATCTGCTAGGTGGTCTGCGAGTGAGAAGACAGACTGATGGAGGACACCGGTCCGGTGGTGAGACGCGCGTTTTATGGTGGAGGTCACGAAAGCCCTTATTCAACAGGAGCAGCTCGTATTGCACAGGATACTGGACCTATGCACCCAAGTGTTGTGGAGATTTTATGAGTTCCAGGTTTCCTTGTCATTAGGAGCCAACGCGGAGTAGTGTTATAGTCGAGAGTACATGTAGCCCAACCGCAAATGCATGAATGGCCGTGTCCAGACTCCGATATCATACAAGGTGACGCCCCATCTAAAGTACATATCCCATGAACATGAGCGAAACAAATGCTAGTTTCCTACAAGCACAGCCTATCAGCCGCGAAAGCTAGTGGTTCTGCGCTCAGACTGAGCGGGTTTGGTGGTATCCCAGACAAAGTCGCCGGCTGGTCTGAAGCCGTACTTTGCAACGTCATCTGCATCATCGTCCTCAACAGACGGCACGTCCTTCTTCGATGATGCAAGCTTGGGCTCGAGCTGCTCGCGGTTGGAGTAAAAGGCCTGGATCTCGCGATTAATCTTGGCGCCGACGGGTCGCAGCTCGCGCAGATCCTTGTCGGGGAGCATCTGCTCGTTGATGACCTTGTTGAAAGCGCTGAACATGAGACGGGCGAGGGCAATAACCTCGCGCTTGTCGTTGTATAGACTGCCTTCTTTCGCCACAGTGCCAGGAGTGGCAGCGGCGGCACGGGGTTGAGCCTTGAAGTAGTGGTAGTGGACCTTCTTGTAGGGCTCCCAAAGGCGGGCGAGAGCCGTGGTGATCTGCATGCCATATTGGCGTTTGGCGGCGGAGTCGTCGCCGTTCTGAGCCTGGGCACGAAGGTGGAAATGGCTGACAAGAGCGACGCGCAGGAAGAGGCGCAGGGTGTGGATGTCAGGGACTGGCTGGAGGCGGGCCATCATTGAGTCGAGAACGGTGGTGGCGTTCTGGATAGCTTTGGGGTTGATGTTGTCTCGGACGCATGTCTCCATGGCGATGCGGTAGGGCTTGGGACCTAGATACTCGTCGGGCATGATGTCGAGGATAGCGGCGGCGTGGGCACTGGCCTTGGCTACCTTGAGCATGCCGAACATGCGCAACCAGTTGTCGCTATCCGGAACGACACCATAGTGGCGGACCATGAGGTTCCAGTACTTGATACCAACGGTGGTGAGTTTGGAAGAGGCGAGCGTGGTGAGGACAAGGGCAAGCGTGTTGCGCCCCGGCACCGCGTAGACGGCCTTGGAGGCTGAGACGGGTTTGGACGAGCCCGAATTGGCAATGTTGCGCATGTCCTGATCCTGGAACGGATCCTCGGTCGCGGAAAGCGCCTTGGTGAGGTTGGGGATGCTCATGGTCTGCTGCAGCAGGTCAAGCACCTGTCGCTTGTCCTCGCGATTCGGCGACATAAGGAGGACGCGGCCCATGGCGCAGACGAGCTCCTCGTCAATTACGAGCCGCCCTTGCCTCCACTTGTCCATGACCTCTGTCCAGAGGGCCTTGGAACGATCGATGGCGCGCTGAATGTTGGCAGCCTGCTGTTCCTGGGGCAGGTCCTTGATCTCGCCGATCGCGTGGTGGCGCAGAGCGTTCAGGATGGTCGTGTAGGTGTATGCGGTCGGGGCGCGCGTCGAGTCGTTGACGGTGTCGGCGATGAGGAACATGGAGTCGAGGTCGCCCGCGCGAGCGCAGACATTGAGCACGGCGTTGAGGTGTATCGAGTTGGGCTGCAGACGCTTGTCCGCCATCAACATGTTATAGTGCTTGACGGCCTCGGCGACGGCAAGCTTGGGATGTTGGGACCTGGCGCAGCCACGGAACAGGACTGTGAAAGTCTGGACATTAGGAAGCTGCCCGCGCTTCTTCATCTGTTTGGGGAGTGAGCTAAGCGATCAGGGTTGAAGGGGCCATCGAGGCGGCATACGTCGTTGTAGAGCTTAACGGCCTTCTTGAGCTGCTGCTTGCCCAAAAGGTACGATATCAGATGGTTCCACGCGACGACAACCTGTCGGTCTTTGCTGGCCTGTTGCGTCAGGAGCAGCGCCTCGTCGAAGCGGTCCTTGGCCAGCGTCTGCTCGACATGCTGGGCGATCTTCCAAGGGTCCTCGATGTGCTCGAGGTGCTTGTTAACAGCTCGCTGCAGCCGCGCGCGGTCCTTTTTCTGCGCCACCGTCGCGTCTTCGGGATCAGTGCGTAAGCTCTGCGGAGCATCGACAGGCTTAGTAGGCGCGGCGGCAGGTGACGAAGATGTGCCGTATGATCGCGTGCGGCCCGCGGGACGCAGCGGGAGCAGGACTGGTCGCAAAGCCGGGGTCTCGAGAGAGGCTGTCTGGAGTGTCCTGCGCAGGCACGCGGCGCAGCTCAAGAAGCTGCCTGGCATGGCGGCTGGCGATGACGACACGGCGCCCAACAGTCTGAGGGATGTGATGTCGAGAAAAGGCGTTTCGTCACTGCAAAACTGGCACAGTGCCGTCGCTGCGTCGTTCTTTGATGCTCTCCGTGCTCTGCTCTTGGAGAAATTCCTTATCTTATCGGCTGTCCTGCAGGGGTCTCTCCAGGTCCAGAACAGGGCGAGTGGCGGCGCGCTACCAAATTGGTACGAGGCGCGCAGCCAGCCAGCCGCCAACGACTGGCTGACTGCCCGTCCGGCTCTGCCTTCGTGCACATGCCGCTAAACATCGAGGCGCCGCGTTCCGTATCTTGACGGCCCTCAAACAAACCAGCATCGCTCCTGCTCCTCCTGCTCCTCCCCACCCCCCGCGTCGCTTCACAGCTTGTATACCCATTGCACCGGTGCTTTGGCCCCGGCAACGCGCTCGCAGCCATGGCGCCTACCGCGCCCGATTTCCAAAAGTTCATCACCGACGGTACGGTACCCAACGCAGCCATCTCGCGGCGATGAAGGCATTCCCTCCGTGCTGACCGGCGCGCCCCCTTTGTTCCCTCCAAACAGCCCGCGAGCGCAAGAAGAACGAGGCGCTCGCCGACAGAATATTCTCCCGGGATCGCCGGCAGAGCGCGCCCTCGAAGCTCAAGGCAGGCGCTACCTCCGGCGGCTCCCTCGCCAGCCGTGTCGGCGTCGTCAAGAAGGTCCGTCTGCGTCCTCCCGCCGTCTTGCATATTTGCTCTTCCTCATGCTGACCGCCACGAGCAGCGCGCCGCAGATGCCACCTCGCGCAGGTCGAGCATGCCCTCGGCGGGCGACGTGAACGGCGAATGGACGCACGATCTCCACGACTCGGTCAACGCCCGACCCTCGTCGCTGGCATCCCGCATCACGAGGCCCGGCGCGGCCCCCAGCAAAAAGACGGCTCCCGCTCAGCAGCGAAAGTCGAAGCTCTCCTCAGCTCTGGACCGAGCCGACATCAACCAACTCAACGTCGTAAACAACGGGAGCGTCGCCACAGCGTCGACGTCGCGGAGCAGGGCGGGCGGCATGGGCATCTCGATTCGCGGGCTGGCGGGCCCCTTCGCCGTCATGGGACAGAACTTTGCCCCCGGCACGTCGGCAGCGGACATCGAGAGCGCCATGACTCCCATCGGCGGCGACATGGTGAGCTGCAGCATCGTGAAGACGCAGCCCTTTGTCCTGGCCGAGATGGTCTTTTCCTCGCGCGAGGGTGGCGAGCGCGTCATTGACACATTCAACGACAAGACGGTAAGTTACTCTAACTCTTCCCTTATTCGCCCACCTCGTGCAATCTACGAGCGGATATGCGCTAACATCCAACGCCAAACAGGCCGACGGCCGGATCCTCAAGATCTACGCAAAACCAGGTGGCTATTCGTCTCCCAGCAATACAGCCTCGCCACCCGCGAACGCCCCCAACGGCCCTCGCGCCACGAGAGCCGCGTCGTCGCGGGACCACGTCGTTGACGGACGCATGGGCTTCGAGAATGATCTCATGGACACGGATAAGGGGTCGTTGTCCTCCAGAGCATCCACGCGGCAACCGCTGTACAGCGACAAGCTGATCGCTGGGAACCGCCGGGGTCGAGGACGCGGCGGCAGATGATGTGCTGCTTTACGTCTCGTCCTTTGTCACAATCCTGTTATTGCTTTACATCCAGCTGGCCGCGGTGAATGCTAGGGTCGCCGTTGACAGGACGGCAAAGGGCAGTGTTTCAGGGGCAGAACGGCATGGGGCGGTCATTCTCGTGTTGGCCCACGCCGTGATATACCCCAGCGCTTGGGTATCTTCCCATTACTCTTTCCATATCTCAGGCTTTATGGATGGCAGCCGTTGGAGAAAAATGGTCCACGTACGGCGTTTAGGTGAGAAGATTCATGGCCACATTATGGCCATGCACTTGTTCGGGGAAAATTCCATTGGGGGGACAGGAAAGGATGGTCTCCACGGTTTAGTTTTCAGAATCCAAAGAAATAAGTCTTGAAAGCTGAGCTGAAAACCATGCAACTCCATCTCGAGGCTAGAAGAGGGCAAAGTATTGATCTGTTTAGAGTCTTTCTTTGTTTGGCGGAAACTACCTCAAGTATACCAACGAGAAGCTGCGCGTAGTGCTTCTCCCATTCTCTGCCCGGGCCCATTGCCACATACCATTCTGCTATGCAACCGTCCCCAGCCCCGTCATCATGTTCATACATGGACAAATCAAACAGCCCTTCCCTGCATGAGCAACACAGCGATACCGTATCTACAAGTGCCTCGACTCCCGCACCAGCCGGCCCCTTTCATGTGTCCCGGCACAGACCCAACTGTCTCACACAACCGCCGTTTTGAGATCTATCTCAATCTTCAGCGTCACAGAGAGAAAAGAACAAACAAAGGTCCCGGGCGAGCGTTCCTGAGCAGAAAAAAAAGGCAATGGAAGGGAAATTGCTCGGGAAGTATGACTGCGCGAGGCGGTTCGAGCTGGTGTCTCTGGCGCACCGAGGCCCTTCCCGTGCACAATGAAAACAAACTGATCCTAAAACCCGCCGACCCCGTGTACGCATGGCAGCTTCTGTCGGCCTCTCACTCATACATGTCATGCTCATAGCCCTCTCCGCCCGGTCCACTCTCCTGTCCCGACGTATCATAAAACTTGTAGCCATCCGTAACATCGTCTCATTGTCGATCGTGTGTGGCGTTCATGAGCTTTCAGCCGCAGAACTTGATGGACGTGCCGCGGAGAAGCTTGTGCCTACAACGTGGCCGCCGGGCGGGTAGACAATCAGGCGCTTCTTCCCAAACTGGAGCTAGTTGGACTGAACGAGCAAAACTGCTGGTCGAGGCTGTATCTGCGGACTGCACCTTGCTAGGTGAGCTAGTCCCGCCAGTTCGGAAGCAAACAATCCCGTATTCATGGCATTCAAACTATTGCAGTTCGACTGTTCAATGCCAAGGGTTCTGGTTGCCCATGAAGCCTTCTTCGAGAGTCCGTTCCTCGAGGTTCCGAATGAAGTCTCGGTTCCCACGACCGCCCTGCTGGACTCTGCTACCTCGCCGGCCAGCCCGACCAGGCGTCGTGTCCATGCCGGCCATTCCTTCGCCAGGTGGCGGGTAGTACGCTGGGCTAGGCTGGAGTCGAATTGGCTGGCTCGGGTCAAGGTGGCTGGCAACACGTTGGATAGCAGCTGGAATACCGCTCTGCTGCTGCTCCATTGTGGATGCCCTCTGTCGGTTGGTCCGCATGCCTCCCTGTTGGTACATGTTCGGTTGCGACACGGTCCCGTATTGCGCGGGGATCTGCTGAGGGGGCTGCATGACCATTTGCCCGTATTGGCCGGCCTGCGGTCCGTAAGGAGGGGCCATGCCGCCGTGGCTCGCGGCTGGGTTGTAAACGGGGTTGGCGCCGTACATGGGTGGCTGAGGGTGCGCCGACGGCGGGTACTGCGAGGCTGCCATAGAGGCGTAGGCTCCTTGCGCAGCCGAATTCGCCTGCGCCTGTGCGGCTTGTGCTCGCTGTTTGCTGAGAGCCTCAGCCTGTTGTTGCTGTTGCGTCCCTGGTGCCGGGGACCGGTTGAGGGAGCTGGATTTCAAGTTCATGGGTGGGACGAAAGGTCCCGTGAACTTTTGCTGAGTGATAAAGGGATGCAGCTTCGCCTGCTGGGGGGACCATCTCTCCAGGGGATTTATTGTGAGCAAGCCGCGAACAAAGTCGATGAAGGCAATCCGGTTGTTCATTTCTGTATGCACATGTCAGCTGTGGCTCTCTTGAAACAATAAGTCTCCCTTTCTTACCGCGGTCAATCTCGCTCTGCTTCATGTTCTTGCGGGGCATGGGGTAAGACTTGATGATCTCAGGCAGCGTACTCGCCTGGAAGTACTTCTTGCTGGGCTGCTCCTTAGTATTGTGCTCCCTGGCGTACTGCTCCATGCTCTTCAAGTGGTACGTGCGTCTTCCGAACTCATCCTGTCGCTTTTCGAAGAACTCGCCAGCTTGCTTTCCCATCTCGATCATCCAGTTCTGTGGGTTTCCCAGCATCTCCACGATGCGAGATACCTGGTTGTACTCGGACGATCCAGGGAAGAGAGGGAGACCGAGAAACAGCTCGACGACGATGCAGCCCAAGGACCACATGTCAATGGCCGACGAGTAGGGCAGTCCGAGCAGAACCTCGGGTGATCGGTAAAACCGTGACTGAATGTACGTGTAAACAGTCTGTCGCTCGTCACACGCTGATCCAAAGTCGATAATCTTGATGATGGGGCTTTCCAAGTTCTTCAGCAAGATATTCTCGGGTTTCAGATCGCAGTGAATCAGCCGCGCCTTGTTGAGAAGGGCCAGGCCGTTGAGTAGCTGCTGCGCAAATACCCGCACCAGCGTTGTGCTCAAGCCGCGGAACTGATTCTGCTTGATGAGTTCGTAGAGGTTGACGCTGAGCAGTTCGAACACGAGACAGAGATGCTGTCGATGGATGAAGGTGTCCTTGAGACGCAACAGATGATGGTCGTCGTTCTTGTCAAGTTTCGTGTTGAGCTGACGTTTCGAGTTAGTTCTCCGGCGCCTGACCGTGGCAAGAAGCAGAAGCATACCAAGTCGAGCACAGAAACCTCCATCATGCTTTGGTTGAAGTAGGCAGTGCGGTTTTTGATGACCTTTACCGCAACGACTTCCTGGGTCTTGAGGTTCTGACACTTCACAACCTGCCCAAACGTGCCTTGACCGAGTACATCCAATATAAGGTAGCGGTTCCTATGACACGAGGTTAACACCCGGTGCTCCTGAGCGAGCTTTGGCCAGACATACTTGTGGCCAGCCTCCTCTGATCCCAGGATATCATTCACGTAAAGGATATAGTCGCTGTCTTCGTTGTCGTAGCCATCGTTCTTCACTCCTTTGCTAGGCTTTGTCAACACTCGACGGGGGTTCCGCGAGGTCTCGTACTTGAAGCTCGGGTTGCAAATGCGGTATGTGGCAGGCAGATGAACGGTGAGTGCTTGCAGAGGCTGCAGACTCGTCAGTATGGGCTAGGACATCAGAGAGCGATACCTACGCTAATAAATCCACCTTCGGGGTTCGCGCGTCTGAAAGGTGGCTGACGGCTGCCTTTCGGGTGCAGGTCAGATGCAGCCCTCACTTTCCTGAACTCGGGTACCGGCTTTGGCGCGGAGGGGTTCTGGCGTCGTGGCGACGACTTCTCGTTGGCGAAGCTACCATCAAGATGAGCGACGGCCGATGAAGGGTACCCGTCATGCGACGAAGCGAACGCCGTGATGGAGGGCAACGGCTGCCCTCCTTGCCTTCCCGCAAAGTAGGGGCTATGAGGATAATCGCCCGGCGACTGTGTCTGTGACGGAGGATTCCCAAACTGGCTGGACTTGGGAGCGTACGGGGACGTCGGCGACAGGGTGTCCATGGGAGAGTACCTCTGGGCCGCAGCTGACGGCGGTTGCTCCTGCGGCGAATGAAGGTTCGAGGGCCGGCTGCCTGACATGTGAGTCTGATGATGCGGCCGCATGGGATACTTGATGCCAGCATGCGCATCGTGGGCGTCATGCATGGGAATGTCGCCGTTGCCGTCGCGGATGGCAGGCCCGGACGCCATAGGAGAAGACACACCAGGGTTGGCGACGTGATGCATAGCGCCGTGGGGGGTTCCATGGGTAGGCGCGCCGCCGTGGTACTGGCCGTGATCGTAGCCGTAGCCCGCGCCAGTTGGGGGCGCCGGCTGGCCGGTGTACTCTCGCGGCATCTGAGAGCCGCCGTTGTGTCGTCGCGAGGCCGCAGCCGCGTCGGGATATGACTGCTGCCAGGCTGGATCCATGGCGGCAAGGGTCGGGACGACGACGGCTCGGACGCCTTACTGCGCGGTTATCGACTGCGACGAGGGAGGGCGAGAAGAGGAGGCTGGAAGGACGCGCGAAGGGTGACGACGTTGACGACGACGCGGCGGGGGTCGCCGGGCGAGCTCAAACGACGGCGCGACGTGGACGAGGGAGGCCGTGAGGCTGCGAGCGCTGGGCCGGGGAGCTCGCAGGATTGCGTGCGTTTGGAGAAGCTGTGCCAGTCGATGCAAGATTGTCGCCGCCTAGCGTGCGTTGCTTTGCCAGCGACGGGCGGGCGTGGGGACGGGATTGGAGAGTTCCCAGGTTGGGGGGAGCGCTGGGGAATTGGGCACCTCGACGGCGGCCCAAGTTCCCGAGGCGGAAAGATGCGAGATGATCGTCGAGCCTGCAAACGTCCTATGTGCTCATGGTGAATGGCGGTGGCAGATTGACCCCTTCAGTCAGCTGGTGGCCGTTGGTTCCAGAGTCGTGCGAAGACGAGCGAATGGATGCTTCGGGGGGGGAGGGAGGAGGAGGATGCGTGAGCTGAGTCGAGCCGACTGCGAGTGGCACGGCGAGCCAAGGAAAGGTACATGTACCTAGCAAGCGAGCAAGCACCCAGGCCAGGCTGACCCCAAGTCAGTGGAGGCCGTGCCGGTGCTGCTAGCTGGACGTGGTCCACGGGTGGAGGAGGGCGGGCGCATGTGGCACCCAAGCTGGCTGGGCAGCGCGAAACGTGCAGCGGGTGGCCGGGCAGTGAGTGGTAGGGGGGATGAGGTGGGAGGAGGATCCGCCCCTAGCTACTTTGCCCAGTTGCCTTCTAGCGCAGCACCCCAGGTGCCTGCTGCGCAACGGGCAAGCTGCATCAGCAAAGGCGCGCTAATGGTTCACTGGCAAGGACGGCAACGCAACCTTGCCAAGCATGTCATGTAATTACCCCTTCTGCGCCCGCAGCGAGCAGGACCGCCGCACGAGCAGTCAGTGCTACCTTACCCTTCGAAGGTCTCTGTGGCTGGACCTCACCAAGGGAGTGCAAACGGGGGACCTTCCAAAGCGACCGCCTTGAAGGTTCAGTTCAGGTGGCCTTGGGAGCCCGCCAAACTCACGGCTGCATTTGGACGAGACGGACAGGCCGGGGCCGACCAATCCAAGGCGGCGTCAGAGCCTTGCGCCAGCACAAGTCACCAGTGAGTGAGTGCACCTTTGCCTTTGCGCGCAGAGCATTGGGGCGCTGTGCACCTGGGTCCTCGGCTCCTCAACTCATGCTCTGTGAGCGGCGTCGAGCCCTCGCTTTTACAGATAAATCCGAGCGTGGACGCTTGCCATCCAGCGGCAGCACTTCTGGCCGACAAATCCTCGCACCGTGAGACTCAAAAGCCACCAACCTTCTAGCAGGTCCCTACCAACCGGCCTTTTGGCATGTCTTTCTTCGCCTTAACGGGCAATAAGGTTCTGGCCCTCCGACATGAAGGCAGGGAAGGGCAGTACCTGCTACCGTGGTTATGGTACGAAGTACCTCAGGACGTGACCTCATGCCTTGCGCGAAGCAACAGCTTGGCGAGGTGCTGTTTCCCGCATTGTGGGCCAGCCTCCAACAGGCGCTTGGCTGGGGCGCAAAGGTCCCCCAAAGAGCCGCAGCCACAGCCACCTACCTATCAACACACCCAACCGCTTTGAACCCTGCGGCGCCGAGCGCTTGTTGGTTAAGCTTCACGCTTCCGATTTGAATCACGCCAGGGCAATGGCAGACCCATTGCTATCGCACTTCCCATTGCTGTTCCGCCGTACGAAGTATGTGTGCTACGAGTCGCCGGCCCTGGCCTGGACGGTAGAGACCAGCAAAACAAGCGGGCCATCGCCATGAGATGACTGTGGTTACACCGCACAGGAAGCGCCCACGCCAAGTGCTAGCATTGGCGACATCGGGTTCTTGGCAGGGTATTCATGCCAGGAGAGGTTTTGCTAAATTTCCTTCTGTGTCTCCGGTTGCCGCGCCTATGTTGAGAGCAACCACGACGTCCCTCTTCCTCGGTACATGAGCCATGTTGCTGAATACCTTAGCTCGTCCTCCTCCTAACTGCCCGCTCAGTCCTACCACAGGGCCCGTCCAGCCGCCAAAGTAGTGACGGAGCGCCTTATGTGGGCGCCTACATGAATCAAATCAGCCCCGTCCCGCCGAATGACAATAAGAGATTTGTTCGTCAACGTCGTCGCAAAGTATTGTATGGGTATGTCGCGCTGAATGCAATCGGGGCGCTCCTTGGGCATCACCTCGCCCAATATGCCCAGCATCCGATGCCGGCAGAAGCTATAAATATGCGGCTCATGGAGCATACTCGAACTGTCGCAGAAAACTTGACCATGGTAATCACCGCACAACTCAATTCAGACAGAGACAGAGACAATGAACCCAGGTAATTGAAGGAGAGGAGCATAAAGAATTTGATCCCAGATAAATGAACAAGAAGATGGGCAAACATCGCTTGAGGAGAAACGAGGGGTATGAAACGGACGCAGACAAGCTCAAAAAGACAGGTGCGCTTTCACAGCTCCGCCCTCTGGGTGGCGGGCTCACTTGCCGGCCTCGAATCTGCGGCTCCCTTTGTTCGGGTTGCCGCATTGCTGTTCACTTTTACGACTGGTAGCCGCCAAATCCATTATTGAAAGCCTGCCCAGGCTGAGGTTGGCTCCACTGGGCATTGGGACCCTGCTGCCCTCGTCCAAAGCCTCCGGCGCTCTGAGGGCCCCCGTATCCCAGCGGGGAGCCGCCATAACCCGCCGGTGACCCGGTCTGAGGGCCTCCAAAGTTGCCGTGCTGGCCGCCAAACTGGGCTGCAAGTCAAAGTCGTTAGCAAGCCAATATCAACACACCTAGGCACCCTCATCACCTACCACTATATTGCGGGTAATAAGTAGGGGTACCCGGATAGCCGCCGGGAGTCTGCGCGCTCTGGGGGCTGTACTGCTGGGAGGGGTCGAAGCTCTGCTGTTGAGCACTCGGGGTTTTGTCCTTGCCCCACTAGGTTCTCCTTGTTAGAAACCCCTCGTATCAAGCGACCAGGGGCATGAACTTACACTGCACTTGAGCGGCCTACCATTGACGTTGTATCCATTCATCTGGCAAATGGCCATGGCTGCGTTCTCGTGGCTGTCCATCTTGATAAAGGCAAACCCCCTGTCAGCCTGGAAGCGAGACTCGACGACAAAGCCGAAGTTTTGAAACAGGGGTACCACGTCGTTGGGGGTTGTGTACGGCGTCAAGTTGCCAACATAACAGGTGGTCTGCCAGTTAGGAGTCTGCCCGAGAACAACATCATAGCTGGCAACGCCGTGCGCCGGGAACTGGTGATGACCATACGGAGTGGTGGGGGTCATGCCCATAGCCTGCATCGCCTGCTGCTGGGCCATGGACGGCTGGCCCTTCTGGTTCGCCCAGTTGCAGCGGATGGCGCGAGACCCAAGCCACTCGCCGTCCATGGAGCTCAGGGCCTTCTCAGCATCGGGCCGATCGCGGAACGCGACAAAACCGTAGCCTCGAGTACGGCCAGTCTTCATATCCCACATGACGCGAGCCTCGGAGACTGAGCCGAAGGCCGAAAAGGCCTGCAGGAGAACTTCGTCGTTGACCTCGTTGGACAGGTCTCCGACAAAGATGTGAAAGTGGCTGGACGTGTCCTCCTTGCTTGTCGTGTTCGACTGATAGGCCCAGTTGACCCGGATTTCCTGCAACGGGTTAGCATCTCGCCGTCTGGTGTTGCAACTGACAGGGGCCATCGTACAGATTGATGTACTCTCCGTCCATTGAGAGTCTGCATGGCCCGCTCGGCGGCTCCAGGGTCGTCATACTCCACGAAACCGTAGTTGTAGCCCTTAGCCTATTTGGTCCCAAGTGTTAGCGTTTCTCTGAGACGTGACGAGGGACGTTGCCGGCTTACATTCTTGTCGGGAATAATCTTGACGTTCTGTACATGGCCGGTGGTCTCGAATATCTGACGCAGGACATCCTCGGTGACGCGTTGGTCGAGTCCGCCAACGTAGAGGGCTCGCTTGTTAGGCTCGGGCGCAGCCCGCCTGAAGCCCGCCGAACCGCCGGGGGACATGAGTCCGGACTGGTCGCCGCCGGACATTGGGGAGGTGATGGCAGTCGGGATGGGGTTGGTGTTCTGAGGAATGTGCAGCGGAGGCGGGGGCATGTGGGATGTGTTGGACTGCCCGTTCTGCGCACCGTCGAAACCTGGAGCAGTTCCAGCACCAGGCTGCGGCTGGGGGGCCATCTGCGCCGGGTTGGTCGCGGCACTTGTGTCGGTCATGGCCATCTCTGCAGATAGTGGGTGCCGAGTGTCGTCGAGCGTTGCGCGTATGGGTCGTAGAGTAAGAGTTGCTGTTGGACCGACTGAATGGTTAAGGCGTTGGTGGGTTCGAGGGGAGGAGGAGCGGTGCGGGTGCGGAGCGTTGGAGATTGGGCTCTTGAGGAACAGTCGATGGGGTCGCCGGAGTCGCGCGCGCGCCCGGGGATGGGTACTTGTAAAGCCTGAAGGTGAACTGATGCTGGCCGTGAGCAAGATGAGCGACCGACGAGAACGACGAGTGGGCACAGCGGTGACCGAACGCGCGGGATGACTCGAACAAGAGAGGCGAGAGGGACAAGCTGTCGTCGGGAGAGGCACCGAGCTACAGCGCCGAGGAGCAGGAGAGGAGAAGAACCGCAGGAAACGTTTTCAACGCCAAAGGAACAGCAAAGAGAAAACGGAAACCAAAGAACAAGGCCCCGAAATCAGAAAAAAAGCCGCTCCGGTCGTTGTCGCCAGCAGCCGAAAGCTCTTTTTTTTTTCTGCTGTAGACAGGGTATGTCGAGAGGGATGCAGGAGAGAGGAAAAGAGTGGAGGTTAATTAGGTAGTCAGGGACAGGTAGGGGAAGGGGACCTAAGATTTAGCACCTCAGGGCGGTGGGTGGGTTGGAGCTTTGGACTGCTTGGGCTATGGGCGCTGGTTGGCCTGTGGAGGAAATGGCAAAGGCGGGAGCTGGCGGCTTGCCGGAGGAAGACGACGAGGACCAGGAGGTGGTGAGAAGGTGGCGGCGGTGGTGGGATGAGGGGCTCTGGGGGGGTGGAGCGTGGGGGGTGTGCGCTGGCAGTGGCGGCGTCGGCGGCACGGCACCTCCCCGTTGCTGCTGGACCTGCGCTTCGGATCAGCCCAGGTTCCCCAAGTCAGGTCCCCAGGCACGGCTACGGCCAGACATGCCCTTGGCTCGACTTGGGCCGCGCAGTCGGGTTCATGCGACAGCCGGAACGAATCGAGGCCATCGTCCCGTCAGGCCGAGAGCGGGACAAACGTCTTCGCAGTGCTGAGCCATGCATGTCCTTGCTGGGCGTCTGCACCTCCGCGTTTCCGTCGAGCGTGTCACACAGCGGCGATTGGTCGCGGCAGCCTAGGTTGGTACCGGCGTCGGCCTGAAGCGCCGTGGGAGGCAAGCGCCAGGATGCAGAGCTATCTGTTGAAGTCATATAAAACGGATTGTGCTCTACTGTAGCACGCCTGGTAGCACATTTGACGGGTGGCCCAAGGGGGGGGGCCCGCGAGGACCTTGAACGACCACCATCTAGCCATGACGTCTCAAGCGAGAACAAATCCCCGCGATTCTCGAGCACTGCGAGAAAACTGGGTGAGGCCGGAGCCTGCACTCCCATTTGCGCTGGTGCGTGCTTTGGGGTGACACAAGGCGGCAGGTTCCTGCCAGAGCGTCAATCCAAATGTCTGCACGGTGCTCCGTGCCAGTACTTGGTGCCAAGCACGCAGGGCCTCTTCCACAAGCCACCAGCAATGGAGATTGGGGGCCGCCGCCTGGGACGAACGAGTGGTGGACTTTCCAGTCGCCTAGGTACGAAGGGAGAGGCATGCCTAGAGCTGGACCAAACCAGCTCCCCTTTCTCTGGGCGGACGTGCCCACTGCTGAAGTTGCGCCGTGCCCCATCGACAGACCCTACCGTACAAGCCAGGTTCGAAACTGGGCAGGATGGAGACGCGGAAAACTTACTTTCATACTGTGTGCTTATTATGAAGCAAATTACAGAACAGTCTTGTGATGAGGCGCCACATTGGTGCAAAGCTACAAACATTTTCGGCGCCATAACCCAGCCAGCAGAACGAGCATCGTTGCAGGACATCCAAGGCTGTCGAGGTTGGATGTGGTTGTCCCCGTCTCTGCCAAAGCACGCACACCGAGGCACGGCGGGCGGCCAGGGGACGTCTTCGTTCAAAGTTAGAACCCGTGCTTAGTGCAAAAGGGCTGAAAGAGGTGCCGCGCAACAGCGTCCCATTGGCTCCCCCGCGCTCAAGACCACTGGACCTTGCGCGCGTCCTGTCGTCGCCACGCGCGCTGGGCCGAAGTCAACCTCCTTCCACCTGGCACCCGCTCAGGCTGGCAAGGACCAGCACCGACACCCGCACAAGCACCAGCACACCCGCACCAGGCGCAGGCACTAGCACCCGCACGAGTCGCCCACCTCCCTCCCACCAACCGTTGCCACCTCCAAACCTTGAGAAGCCCCAAACCAGCCCGACCTTATTGCCAAGGCGCTGAAGAACCCGGCCAGCATCTGACCTCAGCTCCTCCCTTTGCTTCAACACATTGAGTCCCTACGACATCCCACGACACCACCAGCACGCTGCTTCGGCCGCCGCCCGCCAAGACTTGCGAATCGCATCGCCGAGGCTCTCTCCTCCAGCCCAGAGAGTGTCCCGCTTCCACGATGGCCGCACCACCGCCGAGGGCCAAGGACCCCCTCGACGCCCTCCAGCTCCTCGTCAACGACGTGGTAAGTAGCGGGCCACGCTGCCTCCGACTGCGCGCTTGCATCTGCGAGCACCTGCTGTCTTTTCTTCCGCTGACCCTTGTCCTCGTCTCCTCCAGCTCGTGCAAACTGGCAAGGCTCTCCGTGCGTCGCGCCGGGACAGCCAGGGCAACGTCGGTCTGGCTCATCCGGCGGCCCAAGCGAAACTGCCCGACACCATCAAGGCCTTTCACGCGGCGCTAGATGACCTCGAAAACGACATTGTAAGACCGCCTCCGTGCATACCCAGCGCAATGATACTCATCGTCCGTGTCCGCAGATTCGAGCAAAGGGTGTCCTCCTGCGCGACCTCAACGAGCTCAAGGCGCAAAAGACTAGCAACAACAACCTCTCCGAACCACGACCTGTCGAGTCACAGTCTAAGCCCCCCATGACCATCGACCTAGACTCGTCGCCGCCGCCCGCAGCCAAGGACCAGCCCATTAAGGCCGAGCTCTCCACCAAACCAGTCGCGCCTTTCCCAGACATGGGCATGAGTCTCGGCGACGGCCCCGATGCAGACAATGCTGTCAAGGAAGAGGCAACTCCGGCTGCGCAAGGCTCGCCTGCTGCTGCCGATGGAGAGCAGATCAAGCACGAAGGCGAAGCCGCCTCGGGCACGCCGTCGGGAGGACCGACTTTGGCAGACGGCCATCTGAATGGCGCAGACATGCTCGGGGCAAACTCAGGATTGAACTTCACAGACATGGAGTTTACTTTGGCGCCGACCAACAACGACTCTCAGGAACAGACTGGCGGAGATGCCTCCACCATGAACACCACGGATCCTACGTTTGATCTTGCTTCTTTTGCTCCCACGGCCGGGGCCGACACCACCAATCTGACATCGCTGGATAACATGATGTCCGCCGATCTCGGCGGGTCATCTGGAGCTCCGACCAACGAGGGAAAGGCGACCGACGCAAAGCCCGGGACTGAAGCGCCGGACGCCGCGTACGCGGACATCTTTGGGGACGGACAGGCTGACGGCATGGACTTCGACTTCAGCATTGACGGTGGCATGGGCGGCGACACCTTTGACGACATGATGAACGACCGGGATAACACATTCGACCCAATGGAGCATGGTGATTTTGACGCGAATTTCTTTGGCCTCGACAAGACCGACGACGCCTGAGCGCGTTTCGCTGGATGCGTACCGGCTTCTTGCTGGGAAACGCCTCATCGACGAGGGACCTACGCTGTACTTTTACGAACGCACTCATATACCCCCAAGGAAACATGTTGAAGGGGGTCAATGGCGAAGAAGCGGGTACGGACTGACTTTGAAACTGCTTGCTTTGTGATATTTGAAGGATTTTATTTGCTTCCTTCCCGCCAATCTCTTCTGGGCAGATGGAGCTGGATGGCGCAAGGTACGGCTGGCTTCATGCATAGGAAGGTCGTCACGCGGTAGTGTGGACATTTCAACGGGGCATTGCAGTAATTTGGGTTATCTGTTGTGCGGCTATGTACATATCGAAACGGTAGTGGACGTATATGCGTTCTGGCATCACTATGTCCTTCGCCCCCATATCAAATTACGATTTCATGGAAGCACCAGGGCAGCTTACGCGCCGCCTGCTCAGTCCATACTCTCATGGTCCCTGGGTAACGTCTAGCATTTTACCCAGCATAGACTTGAAAGCGGGATTCCGCCAATCTTGCCAAGAGTAGTCGAGGGCCCCCCACGTCTCATTGAAGTCAACAGTGCCACCACGGACGTAGTAGGAGCCCTGAATGGCCCAGAGCGCCCAGTCGGCGTCGTTGCTCTCCATGTACTCCACGAGACAGGTCAGGTACTTGTAGTCGTCGTCGCTGAGCCCGTCATGAGGCCCACCCGTCATACCGACGCCAAACTCAGACAAGAAGAGCGGGCCTGTGAGAGCCCCCTTGCCCTGCTCGAGGACGAAGCCGAAAAGCCCTCCGTACTCGGTCTTCAGGAGCGAGCAGATTCCGAAGCTGGGTGTCGTGATGGTGAAGCTGTAGGCGTGGGCCTCCCAGACACGCTTGGAAACCCAGCCGTCCGTGTCCATGACGCCTACGGTTCTCAGGGGGGAGAGGTCCGTGCCGCCGTTGATCCCGCCGGTGATGACGAGCGCGTCCGGGGCCGCGGCGTGGACAAGCCGCGCGGCGGTCGGCATGTAGTCGAGCCAGGTCTTCGGCGCAAAGGGGATCTGCAGGACGCTGGCGCGCAGCTCGTTGCGCAGCGAGAGGCCGATGACGCCCGGGCGGGAGCGCGACCAGGTGGCCATGGCAGTCAGGCCCTCATGCCACTGCGTCGTGTCAAAGTAGCGGCTCGTCTCTTTCATGTAGAACTTTGCGTCCTTCCACCAGCCGTTCCCATCGCCCAGGTCGCAACACCAGCTCGCCTTGCTGACATGGTTGTCGAGGACGGTCATGACACCGCGGTCCCACAGGGCGGCCTGCACGTGGTCGAAGACATCAAGAACCGTAGCCGTTGTCAGGAAGGGGTTGCGCTCGCTTGCCGCCGCATAGAGCTTCATCAGGGTAGCCTCATCGGCGCCCGACGCCACCGCGGCCGCGCGGAACGAGTCCTCGACGCGGACGGAGGGGTTGCGCGCCATGTCGATGGAGTAAGTAAGGCGCACGCAGTTGAAGCCCTGGGCGGCGATCCAGTCGGCGACATGCTCGACCGTCTGGCGGTGCAGGCCCTCGGGGATGTTGGCCTCGAGGTGGCCGGCCCAGTTGATGCAGCGCAGCTTGACGCGCTGGCCGGCCGCGTCGACGATCCAGCGGCTCGACGCCGAGAGCGGAACCTTGGGCTTGTCTGCGGTGACACTGGATGCGAGGCCGAGCAGGGCGCTGCCGCAGGATGCCAAGGCGGCGAGCCACGAAGTCCTCATCGTGACGGGCGTCGCTGGGGGTCGAGCCCTTTCAGACTGACATGCAGAACAAAACAAAGTAGCCACCAAGATGGCGTGAAGAGAGGCCACTCAGCTGATGCCTATCGCAAAAGAGGGATGCAAACTGCCCATGTCTCCAGGAACTGGATTCAACCACTGTCGTCGGCCACGGGGTGTCGCCGTTCTTATAGTCACCCGCCGACGCACCAGGGCGGCCAAGAAACACCCGTCTTCCATCGGGCACATGCCCATGGTGGTTGGTGACCACCCAGGACAGAATAGCCGAGTCGCAGACCGTCACCACAGGTGCGCAGACCGAAGTGCGCCGGCGCAGGCGCTGGGCTCGTCGGTGCGTCGGCCGGGCCAATATGCAAGACGCGGGTCAGTTGCATTGACGCCACAAGAGCATCGGCGCGGAGGCCCTAGGCGTTGGCGTTGCCAAAAGGGACCATCAACCCCGAGCTGGCGGGCATTGCTCGCCTTGGTCAACTTGGGCGGCGCGGAATCCTTCCAGCAGGACATGGTTGCAGATCGCCTGCGGCCGCGCAGTGGCGCTCTGCGACAATCCCCCGCCCATGATGTTGCAGCCCGCAGAACTCAGGTGACGTGCCGTTGCTTTTGGCTCCAAGAGCGTCGCGAAAGGAAGGGCGTTTTGTGCGACGGCTCGAGAATCACTTCCATCGAAAAGGTAGTCCTGTGGCATCTGTCGCATCGTATGCCCGAGGGACTGCGTACCTTCACACTCGGGACGTTGGATAAATCGTATCTGGGTAGTAGCGGTTTCCTGCTGCCAGAGAAACGCGAGATCTCCAGCGAGAAAACGGTTGACAACTAACCTACTCGTATGGACGGCCTGCCCATCGCCCGCGAGCGCTCCGAACGGGGGGCGCACGCCAGCTGCCTCCTGGGGTGCATTGCATCACACAGCATGCAGGTGGACACGACCGGGGACCGCATCCATCTGCAGCCCCATCGGACCCGACATCCCCGGATCGAGGGGCAGGCAGAGAGACGGCACAGTTCCAATGTGACTTGGGCCAGGCACAGGCATCAAAGACGGCGACCTCGTTATGGCCTATTATTACACACACAACTAGAGCAGGTGCTGTAATGATACCAGCGGTGTCCTCAACAAGGCACTGCCCAGACTCCTCCTCACTCCCTCGGTACGCTTGCCTCCGCAATAACACCCAGCCGAGTTGGCTTCGACAGAAATCAAAGAACAAGACGCGCAAACACCGGGCCGTCTGTGGGGGAATATGGCGAAATCGAAGGCTGCAGGTTGTCGTAAATCGTAAAAGAGACGGCGACAGGGCCATCTGCTGTCCGCCCTACCGTGGGGGATTAAGTGCAGAATCGGCCCCGTCCGCCGCTCACAAAGCTGGCGCTGAAGTCGGAATCGCCACTGGCACGGCCACCGTCCTCGCCGCCTCCAAGCCCCGACGCCGCGCCAGCAAGCTCTTGAAGGCCCCGATGAACTGCACTAGGCTCTCCTCGTCGTGGGCGCAGAAGCGGTAGCTCTTCTCTTCCGTGATGATCTGCAGGCAGTTCTCCTTGCTCTTGCTCAGCGGGTCCAGCTCCACGACGTTGACCACGACCTCGAGCTGCACGATCCACTGCGCCGTGTACTCGGACTCATCCTTGTACACGATGAAGTTGCGCGGCCGCAGCACTCCCCACATGTCCTTCCACTGCCGCACGCCTCGCTTGCTGCGCAGCATCCACAGCCACCCCTGCCAGATGACCCGGTCCGGGTCCTTCTCCATCGGCGTGCCCCCGCCAGCCGCGTTGCCAACGCTCACTTGGCTTGCGGACCGGTTCCCCAGCGTTCGCGGCACCGCCACTGCCGGCCGCGGAAGTGACCCCATCATCTCCACGGGCGACTGCACTGCGAGGCTCTCAAACGACGTCCCATACTGCCGCTGGACACCGCCGCCCTCGTTGTCTGACACATCCGAGTGCGATGGCAACTCGTTGCCTGACATGCCAGACGAGTCGATGTTGGATGACTCGCGGCGCCCAGTGGCGACGAAACCCGGTGCGGGCGGGTCATACATCTCGGGTGAGCTTGACAGCATCCGCTCCCGAAGATCGCGACCGTTCACGCCGGATCCTCCTGCACCCGGCATGACAGCCCGCAGGCCGTTTGGCGACAGGCTGCGCGCAAGCGGACTCGCCAAGAACATTTCCTCCTCCTCTTCCTCTATCCTCGCATCCCTCCGAATCAAGTCCACCCATTCTTCGGCATCCCTGGCTGTGGGCGCCTGGAGGTGGAAATTCTTCGATGGCGAGAACAGTCCAAAGACATTGTCGCGCTTATGCTTGGGGTCCTTGAGGAAGGTCACCGCCGTCAGGTCGGACAAGTGTATTTGGTGTCGGAGTTTGGTCTCCTTTTCGTTCTTGTAGATTGACAGAGTATTTGGTCGGAGCACGATGTAGACCGTCTTCCACTTCTACGGGTCAAAGAGTCAGCAGACACCTCCAAGTATAGGAGCGGTGGTCGCACCTTGGTCTTCGACGTCCGCTTCTCGACGTAGCCGCTCTTGATGATGCGGTCGAACTCGAAGCAACCATTTTGGTTCACGCTCGTGGCGAGAGCTTCGAGGTTGGGGCGGCTCCGCGACAGAGATGCTCCGCCCTCGGGGACGTCAGCGAGCATCGTGCTGTGCCGCGGCGCGAAGTCGATGGCCTGAGCCTCGGGCATGTCGGCGGCAATGCGACGGTTTCAGGGCGAGGGGGCTGGCAGGAAGCGTGAGCTGGCCTCGGGGCTGGCCGTTGGGGGCGTAGCCGCGGCAGAAGCTCTGAGGGCCGCCTCCGTCAGATGAGCCTGGCGCAGCCCGCACTGCTTTGTCGTCGAGCAAGTGCAGACGATGATGGTATCGTGGCAGGTCGTCGTCGCCGTCGTCGTCGAGACGGTTGGGGAGCCTTTCGCCAGGTCGGCGGTTTCGAGGGGACGGGAGACGGCGGGCCAGGGGGTGATCGGCGCGCGGCTCCAATGGTGGTGATTTGACGGTTGCGTCGCGACGGACAGGTGGCACTACCCAGGCCAGGTACGCGGCGCCTATGCACCAGTATGCGACTCAGGCAGCGCACTCAACGCTGTGCGCTTGGTGGACAGCAGGAGGTGCGGTGGTGTTACATTTGATTGCGCCCATCCGGGGCGAGACGGGGCGAGATGAGCACGACGGTGAGGGCGACTGTGACAAGGGCCACGCCTGGGGGCAGAGAGGCATCACCACAAACCCAGGCAGGCGTCAGCTGCGTCTCACAAGGCGGCGCAGGCTGCAGCAGCCTTTTGACGACGATGGAGCGCAACCAGGGCACGCGACCGGGAGGACAAGCTTCAAGACAAGAAAAAACTGCCGTTTCCGCTCGACGAAGTGCCAGGGGTGTCAAAGGGAATTGGATTTAATTCAAAGACATGGGATGGGGCTGGATGGGGCAACGGGAGGCATGCAGGGCAGGCCGCGAACAGGGCCTGTTTCACTACGTAATCTTTGCCGTCGCCAAACCAGATGACGGCACTACTTGTCTAGACTTTTGGCTGGCTGTCTTTGCCCGTGGCGGGGCTGAAGCTTAGCTGACCTGACTTGCGCCGCGGTCGCCACAATCCCGCAACGCCAGCCAAAGCCTCATCAGCCAGTGCCAGCAGGCGTCGTCACCACCGCAACGCTCCGAGTCAGTGCGACGACGGCACGCCTCTCTTGACGACCTCATTGCGCGTTCCCGGGCAATCCAAAAACATCCACGATGGTACGGCTGGCGGCTTCCGAGCCAATGGGCATGCGACGGCGGCCTTCCTCTACGCAGTGTGCTGAACCCCCGCTCTAGGCGTCCGAGTCGCGGCTCTTCAAGATATCAGGCGAGAGCAAGGAGCACCTGAGAAAGTTCCGCCTGACGACGTCGCGGTCCCAGGAGCCCCAGGCAGTCATATGTACGTGCGCCGTGCAATGATGACCCGTTCCCCCCTGCCGCGCCTTCGCGTTCAGAGCTGACATGCGCCCCCGATCCGTGAGGGCAGACATGATTGACAAGAACACCCACGAGATCCGCCAAGACGAAGACAAGACGGTGTACAAGTCCCTCGAAGAGCTCGGCGATGACTTGCCAGATCACACGCCCCGTTATGTGCTGATGAGCTACCCCCTGACGCTGGTGCGACCGTCCTGTCCGCGCCTAACGAGCCAACAACAGCTGACATAGGCGCAGCCCGACGGTCGGATGTCCGCGCCATACGTGATGCTATACTATCTGCCCATTACATGCAACGCTGAGATGCGCATGCTGTACGCCGGCGCCAAGGAGCTCATGCGGAATACTAGCGAGGTAGGTCGAGTCATCGACATCGAGTCAGTCGAAGACCTGGAGGAGATTCCAGAGAAGCTTAGGTCCGGGTAATGCAAGAATCGCGTAATATCACGATGCCACGTCCACTACGTCTTGCGCGGAGGGAAACTGGGAGTAAAGGTATCGTGGCGTAAATCATGTCTATATGTTTATTCGTCCGGCAGCACATCCTGGGTATCCAGCCCCAGCTGGTCAGCCACCCCCTTGACCACCTCTTTAAACGCCAGGCAGGCCGGGCTGTCTGGGAACGAGTCGAAGTAACTCTCCCCGTAGTCGCACGCCATCCGAATGCGCGGGTCCAGTGGCACGGCGCCCAAGAACGGCACGCCCATCTCCTCGGCCAACGCGCGACCGCCGCCCGTAGTCGGCCGGAAAATTTGGCTCTCGCCCTTGCACGACGGACATACAAAGCCGCTCATGTTCTCGGCGATCCCCAGCACCCGGATGCCCGCTTTTCGGCAGAAGTCGATCTCCTTGCGCACATCCAGTAGTGATACCTCTTGTGGTGTCGTCACCACCACGGCGCCGTCGATGCCGCTCTCCTTGAGGAATGAGTTGACACTGAGATGCTCGTCACTGGTGCCGGGCGGGGTGTCGACGAGCAGGAAGTCCATCTCGCCCCATTCGACATCCTTGAGAAATTGCTTGATCAGGCCGTTCTTCTTCGGTCCGCGCCAGATGACAGCGTCGTCGCGGTTCGGCAGCATGAACTGAATACTCATGACGCCCAGGTTGTCCATAACCCAGACGGGCGACCAGCCTGACCCGCTCACGTGAATCGTCTCGTCCTCGACGCCCATCATCTTGGGGATGCTCGGTCCGCATATATCCGTGTCCATGATGCCAACGGTGCTGTCGGGATTTGTTGCAAACGCGTGGGCCAATAGCGATGTGAAGGTGCTCTTGCCGACGCCGCCCTTGCCGCTCAGTACCAAGATCTTGTGCTTCACGTCGGCAAGCCGCGCCGAGATGACCGGGATGTCTGGGTCAGGTCCCTTTGGTGCGGATGCGCAGATGGCCTGGTTCGGGCAGCCAGCGCACGAGTCGGCCGTGCCGGCCTGTTGCGACTCCGGTCCCGGACAGTGTTCCGGCTCTGGGGCCACGAGCTGCGGCTTCTGCTTGAGCGGGTTCGCGAGCACGTCGGCCACCGGCTCTGGCTCCTCCAGAGAGGGTGCCATTGTCGCGGTTGATGCGCGCGCACTCGCGGGTTGTGTGTCTAATACAGTCGCTGTGTTGCGCGGGCCGTGTTGTGTGGTTGGCGAGTTGATGCACGGAGGAAAGGTTGGTGGTCGCCGTTGTGGCGATATCGCTGCGGTAACTTAATCCTCGGACAACGCTTAATAATTCAGGTGCCGCACTTTGCGGAACCGGGGCGCCACCACACCCATCTCCAGGCACAAACCTCTCCTGAATGATCATACTCGGCGACATTCACGGTCACCGTAACTTGTTAGTACCCTCGCTCCCATTTCCTCGTTGGACTTGGAGGGGTTTACATCCAAGTGTCCAGTACAGGGTAACCCTGCTCGGTCGGGGTGTCGCTTGGGCCGTGACAAAAACGCTGGTCTACTCGTACAAGTGTAAGCAGGCACGAGCGACTGTCTGGCGACTGCCAAGACATGAAGCACCTGCTACGGAATGGCAACCGGAACAAAAAAACAAGACCAAACCGTCTCAGCGCGCCAAAAAGAACACACATCGACTGACGGAGTTGGGTCCGTCACGACGTTTTACTAGATGTGCAAAAAGGAAGGTTCCAGAGGGAGTCGAACCCTCGCTGGCGGAATCAGAATCCGCAGTCATAACCGTTAGACCATGGAACCGATTGAAGTGGTGTACCACTTCCCATGGTTGGTTGTTGAAAGGATCGGCCTTAGTTTGGTTTATTCAGGGCTGCCAGCGGGTACCGTGTCTGGTTTGTGGCGGGGCCTATTCTTATCGTCGTCGTATCGCCGCCCCGCCTAAATTTTCTCTCGGTGCCCCACGTAGAAGACGCTCTTGTCACCTGTGTGTGGCCTGACAGCGCGTTACAACCAGTCGAGGAGCTGGTGTTGTAACACTCTGCATCCCGCATTGCTTCCCATCACCTGCTCGAAAATGGCCGATACGACGGTAAAGAGCCTGCGGGCGAGCCTGTGCTCGCAGGAGACGCCCCTTGCTGTGCAGTTTCGAGCGCTCTTTTCACTAAAGCACCTTGCGACTACCTCCGAGGACAGCGCCGCTATCGCCGCGATCGAAGCCATTGCCGCCGGATTCGCATCGCCTTCGGCGCTGCTCAAGCACGAGCTGGCATACTGCCTGGGCCAAACAAAGAAGGATGCCGCGGTGAAACCACTGCGCGATGTCTTGTCTGATCTCCAGGAAGATCCCATGGTCAGGCACGAAGCGGCCGAAGCGCTGGGCGCCCTGGGTAAAGCCGAGAACCTGGACATTCTCAAGCAATTCCGCGATCGCGAGGGCGAGGATATCGCAGTTAAGGAAACGTGTGAGATCGCCATCGACAGGGTAGAGTGGGAGAACTCTCCAGAAAGACTACAGGAAAAGTTGCGACAGAGGTACGCGCCGTCTATTTGACGATTCGTGGATTGCCGGCGGCGAGTTTGGCTAACACAGATGCTATCAGTGACTTTGCCTCCATCGATCCCGCTCCGCCCATGCCCGAGTCCGAGAAGAGTGTCGACGATCTTGAGAAGGTGCTCATGGACGTGAACAAGCCCCTGTTCAAACGCTATCGCGCCATGTTCGCCTTGCGCGACCTTGCGTCGCCGCCAGACTGTGCGACTGCTGTCCCCGCTGTCCTTGCGCTCGCGCAAGGCTTCAAGGACGAGTCTGCGCTGTTCCGCCATGAGATTGCCTTCGTGTTTGGCCAACTCTCGCACCCTGCCTCCATACCTGCGCTCACCGCAGCGCTCAGCAACGTGAACGAGGCGGGCATGGTTCGGCACGAGGCTGCTGAAGCCCTCGGCGGACTCGGCGAAGAGGAGGGCGTTGAGGATACCCTGAAGCGCTTCCTTCACGACAAGGAGACAGTGGTGCGCGAGAGTGTTATTGTTGCTCTGGACATGGCCGAGTACGAGAAGAGCGGTGACGCAGAGTACGCCCTGATCCCGGAGGCTCCCGCTGCCTCTGCTTGAGCGAAGCGTCGTTTAGATAGATTCCAAAAGCAGCAATCTTCTCAGTTGTTCTCGTTCCATCTGCATCGACATTAGCAGTGTGATTAAATGCATTTGTACCACAGACACGTACGAGTGACCGCAATCACACGTGAAGATGATGGTAGACCCTTCGTCGGCGCTTCGGAGCTGCACCGACGTGTATTTAACTTCTTCACGGCCGCACTTGGGGCATCGTTCTTGCACAACGCTTTCGGTCTGGATGCTGTGTCGCTCCACAGCCTGTACGTTCGACTGCAGCTTTTGCCGGAGGAACGAGGGAAAGTCGGAAGGTTTCGACTTCGTCAAGATCGTCTTCGAGCCCGTGTCTGGGTAATACAGCATGTCAGCGTTGCAGGCAGTGCATTCGGCGCCGCCCAAGCCTACCTTTGTTCCATGCGCCACAGCATTCGCACTTTAGGGAATTTTTCTCCGTGCCTTTGGTGGCAGGGAGCAGGTTTCCGCAGTCTGTGCAGAACACTAGAGAGCCAATTGCAGCCATGGTCTTCGCTGAGGGTGTCTCGGTGCGCGAATGAGCTCGTCAACAGTACCGGCGACAAAATGCGAAGCAAGAAATTTGGCTTGGGCGTACGGCGCGCGAAACTCAAGGCCCGCCCTGGTCCCTGGTCCGGAAAAACTGATAAGGCAAGGCACCAGTACGTCACTTCGGAACATTCGCTGACTGGCCAGGAACCTAGTTTCATGACCCACTTTGCCTTGACCAGCCGCTGAACAGGCGCGCGCGAGGCTGCACTTGCCCGTCTCGCTCATGCCGACGACAGCTTCACGCGATTGAGCTGTACGGCCGGATCCTCTCCCAATCCCGCATTGTTATGCACGCATGAACCGAAGCGTTTGGCGATTTACATTCTCCTCTGGCTTCCTGTACCCCTCGCCGGCCTGCCACCGGCTAGCGTCTTTGCGCCAGCCGACCTCTCGATGCGACGAATCCGGCGCTCCAACTTCTAGGCCATGCCTGAAACGTTGAGCTATTGTGCGAAGCCATAATACGACAACCATGGAGCCTTACAATGCGAACGGGCCGAGAAACGGGATTGGCCGCCTCCAACAGCAAGCCATCTCGCGGCCCTTCACATTGCAAGAGTCGCTCCCGTACTCACCCCAAACGTCTACCGTGCCATTCCTGCCAGGTCCGTCACCGCAAGATATTCTGCCCTGCGCTCACACCGGGCGCTCGTATATTCTGACTCCCCAGCAGAAGTGATACCCGATCCGAGTCTAGGCTCAGGATCCCCGGCGCTGCGAATCGCTGATCTGTTCGCCCGGGACGAGTTCGACAAGGTTAACAGTGACGCAACTACCGCACCACAAGGGTCCCGCACTCTTAAGCAGGCTGCGGACTATGTGTTGCACGACCTGAAGCCATCTCAGAGAACACACTAGTATGCTCCCTCCGTTGACCTCTGTCGGAACACGATCTGACCGCCAGCAGCAAATTCCCGACACTGCCCCAAGCTACGTCGACAGCACCCGCAGGTAAGAGTCTCGCCGACGGACTCTCGCCTCTGACACGATCCGTGTACGAACGGGTGGGAAGCTTTTTCAAGTCCACAAAGGCCAATACCGCAAGTCCGAAGCTCGTGAATGGTGATGCAGGTCGTCATTCTGGGGCGAGAGAGTCTCCCTCGCACGCATCGAACGCCTACTCGCAACCGCACCGGGGCCGATCGGAAAGCCACGAAGTGCACAGATCTCCCTCTGTCAGGATAGAGGTTGCAATCCCCTCGAAACGAACGTTCGACCCAACATCGTACGTTGATGCCACTGGAGTCGACGAGCTCCAGGAGAATGCACCTGCTTTGATTCCGCCCCAACCGCCACAAGCACCACAACCGCCGAACCAGATCAGTACCTCGCAAATACCAACACCTACCGGGATCAAACTTTCACCGTCCCCGGGGAAGGAACCTGTCTTCAGCATTGAATTGCCTTCTGTCAATTTCAAGAGAGAAGAGTATCTGGAGGTTGCGGACGCGCCCGATGCTCCGCAGAATCTCTCGGCACGACGACAGGGGCCCCAGGGCTTTGCAGATAGCCAAGGCGTTACCATCACGAGCCTGGACCAGCGACAGAGGGCCGAGGCAGCTCTGGATGCTTTGGAAGCCCTGCTGCGTTCTGTCTTTGTGGCCGTGGGGCAGGCTCTTGGACAGGAGAGCGGATCTGAGCACATCGTGACTCTTACTACCGATCAGGAGCCCGCTATGACTGCTGTCACCCAGCAGAAGATGCACGGCGCGATCCAGAAAGTCATTGGATTACGTTGTCTTCAAAACGTCTCCTTGGAGAGCCTTCTTCAAGTCATGAAGCTAAGCGAGGCAAGCTTGAAACAGATCGACGGCCTCGAGATCCGAGCCGACGAAAGCTGGGATGAGAGCGCCGTGGAATCATGGATACAGCAGCTTTCTGAAGTTGAAACGGCTTTAAAGGCAGCTCGAACCTGCGCACGAATACTGTCTGGTGGCAGAGATGACAAGCAACTCTATTCCGAATCGGTCATCAACCGGTGCGTCGATATCTTCAAGAGCGTCACTGAGGATATCGTGATCCCTCTGGTGGAATTGCGGAACTCGGGATCGTCGGCAAACCTCTTCAAAATGGTCCAACGACACAAGAAAGTGATCGCATCGGTCTTCGTTTGTTGCCAGAAGCTGTTCGCCGTGCTTGCCGAACTAGTCACCAAGATCGAGCTCTCGGAATCAGTCATCAATACGCTAGAATTCACGGCGTCGAAGCTCATCTTCGTCGAAAATGCCTATTTCGAACGGGACTCGGCCATTGGCGTCCAAAAATTCGATGGCATCCGGTCTGTTGCCATGGACATGCTTTGCCAGATCTTTTTGATCAAGCCGGACCAGAGACAGGGGATTACTGATGATATCTTGACCTCTCTGGAGAAGCTCCCGGTTGGCAAGCAAAGTTCCAGGCAATTCAAGCTCTCTGATGGGGGCAGCATTCAACCCGTCTCAGCTCTCATCATGCGACTAGTCCAGGCCAGCTCTGGTCGAGTGGACTCCAGCGATGGAGCCGGCCGTGCCGCCCTTCTACGCAGCATGGGCGACGACGAGGATGCGGAATACGATGAACTGCAGACGACGAAGAAGGGCCAGGCTGCAACAACCATTCTCAACGAGGAGCAAGGGGCTCAGCAGCACGCGGTTGCCATACAGGAGCTAGAAGCCGCTGCAGCGCCGCTCAGTGAGTCTGCGAGTCGAAACGCGTCGTACGTCATCAACTTCATCGTCAAAAGAGCTATCGGCTCTACGAAGACCGGCGATACGCCTTATCGCAACCTACTGGACCTTTTCGTTGAGGACTTTACGACCTGCCTCGACTCACCGGACTGGCCCTCGGCCGAGCTCCTCCTTCGCTTGCTTATGGTTATGATGGTACAGCTATTTGAGGCACCGAAGACTGCCGCTCCAGCAAAAAACATGGCCCTGGAGTTGCTTGGTACTATGAGTGCCGCGATTTCCCGGCTGCGGTCGCACGTGAAAAAGACGGCTAGCGCGTTCGAAGGTAGTGATGCAGGCGAACTATCTCAGTACCTTTCAGACCTGGCCACCCACGTGCTCGAGCAGAAATGCCAGATGGAGCACATCGTTGCCTGGTCTGGCCCGTTCCGCGCGACGCTAGAGTACCTACAAGACCGGTGCTCTGAGGATCCGCACTTGTCCAGCGCCGTCTCATTCATGATCACGGACTGGGCGAGCAAGATCCACTCCGGCTATGACTCCATCCAGGAAGACGATAGCGAGCGGGATCAAGAACTTGGCCGGTTGGCCTATCGGCTCAGAATGATGATTGACGATAAGAAATGGCTCTTTAACGAATATACGTTCAAGACGGTAACAGCAAGCCAGGCAAGATTTGCGTTTTCAATCATCCTCCTTCGCTCTCCGCTTTGCGAATCGTTTAGTAAGATTCTCAATATCTTACTTGGTTCCATGGCCAGCGACCAGGCCACTGTTCGCAGCAAAAGTCTCAAGAGTGTGAACCAGGTCCTGGAGACCGATCCGTCCATCCTGGACGGCGACTCAACGGTCATCCAGCTCATCCTCGACTGCTCAGGTGATTCGTCGACGCAAGTTCGCGATTCCGCTCTTGGATTATTGGGGAACTGCATCGGGATGCGACCCTCTTTAGAACCCTCCTTGACCCCGAAAATCATTGATCGGTTTCAGGATGCTGGCGTCGGTGTAAGGAAACGAGCGATGAAACTGGCCCGCGACATCTATCTGCGTAATCGAAATAAGGGACTTCGGAGCGCCATCGCCAATGGTCTGTTACGTCGAGTCCAGGACCCGGACGAAGGGGTGCGCGATCTTGCACGCCAGATGATTGAGGAGATCTGGTTTGCGCCTTTCTACGCCAACGAAAGCACGGCAGCGTTCGAGACGGCTCTTACGGAGCACGTGGCGCTGATCATCCAGACTGTGAAGACTGGGACAGTCACGGAAATCCTCGACAAGGTCTTCCAGATTATCGTCAGGCCGAACAACAGATCTTTGGAAGGCCCCTTCACAGTCTGTTCTAGACTGGTGGGTATCATGTTTGGGCTTATCGACAATCCGGACTCCGAAGATGCATCTGTTCTATCAGGGCGCGACGCCCTGCAGGTTCTCACCATCTTCGCTAAAGCCGATCCGAAGCTGTTTACGCTGGAGCAAATCCGTCTGCTCAAGCCCCAACTAGCCAGCTTCACCGGCCGAGACGAACTCGCCGCGTTTCGGGCTGTTACAGTCATCTACAAGAGAGTGCTCCCGCAATTACCAACGGTCCATTCAGACTTCCTTGCTGAAGTAAGACTACAACTTCTCAAAGGGATTGGCAAGATCTCGTCGCGGGGAGCTTTGGATGATCTCATCGGTTGCGCACACACCGTCTGTGAGCTTCTAAAAGACTTCAGTCCCTTGGCGAACTTGGTGGCATCGAGCCTGCTAGGGATCCAGAAGTTGGCCAAGGCTCCGCTCGACAGCAAGCGCTTGAATCACCTCTGCGCGTATGCGATCATAGTGGGGAGCGTCGGCAAGCATTGCGACCTGGATAAGCAGCTGCATATTTTCCGAGAGAAGTTCCCGCGGTGGCAAGGGGATTCGGTACCCCGTCTGATTGTTGACACGCTGTCACCTTTTGCCCTGCCACCGCAATCTCTGGAGGCGCGAAAGGCGGCAATCGAAGCCATTGGACTGGTTTGCCAATCGTGGCCGCGGAACTACGTTCTGGCTAAAGTGTATACGGCCTTCCAGCAGGTGTTCCAGGATCGGATCCCCATCCTAGAAACCATGATTCTTCGATCGTTCAAGGAGTTCCTCATGACTGAAGAACGGCGCTCTGAGGCCGGGGCTGCAGCAGCTGCCGCCGATGGCAAGAAAAAGGAGCTGACTGTCATGGGCGGAACCAACTTTGACGATGTTGCCAGCGCCACGACACAGCGATTCCTGAAGGACATAACGCGAATTGCCCTTAGCAGCCAGGATGAGCATGCTTTCTTGGCCATGGAGGTCCTGGGTAGCATCAACCGACAGGGCTTGACCCACCCCAAGGAAACAGGCGTCACGCTAATCACGCTGGAGACCTCTGCCAACCGCAAGATTGCTGAGCTTGCCTTTATGGAGCATCGATCATTACATGAGAAGCACGAGACAGTACTGGAGAGGGAGTACGTCAAAGCTGTGCAGTCAGCCTACAACTATCAGCGAGACATTGTCAAGGACTCGCACGGCGCAACCGTTGACCCTTTTCAATCAAAACTGCACTTGCTGATGGAGGTGCTCAAGATCAGCAAGCTTAAGAATAGGCAACGCTTCCTGGAAAAGCTCTGCAACCAGACAGACTTTGAGCTTTCCAAGTTTGATGCTATTGGGGATCTACCGCCGCATGTCGACTTTGCCCGGTTCATCGTCGAGAACATGGCCTTCTTCGAGTACCAGACGGTTGGCGAGCTCCAGAGCGTAGTCAATACGCTAGAGAAGATCGTGACTGGTACGGGAGCGACGGTGGCCCAGGCTATTGAGTCTGAAGTTTTCAATGTTCGAATGGACGTTGATGAACTTGGCCAGCCCCAAGACTCAATCGCAGCAGACCCCAGCGCCGCTATGTCCGCAGGCGACCTGCCCATGGGTGGACAGCAAGCAATATCGCAGTTGCCGGTTTCGGCTCTATCGGTCGAGCCGCAGAGATTGCGTCAGCTGACGGCAGCTTCCATGGTGCTTCTGTCATTGTGGGAGGCTCGCACGTACATCCGCAAGTTGTACAACATGGGCACGAGCAGGCACGACAGCAAGGCCAAGGCATTGGCCAAGGACCTCAACAAGACGCCTTCGAAGACGCAAGGTGTGCACGGGGACAAGTTCTGGGATGAGGTCGCCTCTCATATGAAGGGCCTGCAAAACGAGGAGACGATGGCGAGAACATGCCGTTCGCTCGTTGAACTAATGAATGTCGACAAGGAGTTCAAGGTGACCAATGAGGACGATGAGATGGCCATCGATGAGCATGGTACGCCAAGTGAGGAAGAGGATGACGACGCGCCGGATAGAGGCCGGAAAAGGAAGGGCGGAGCTACGCCAGGTGGACGCAAGAAGCGGGCGCGGTCGAGCTCTCAGCCTCGCAAACGTGGACGGCCACGCAAGCAAAGCGTGGAGACGAGCGAGGACGCCGAGTTTGATGCTGATTGGATCTAGACATGGCTGGGCAGCAGGTCCTCGCGTATGCTTGCCATGGGCCGACGGGCAGAGACGTGGAGCAGACCAGTCGATGCTTGTGGCAGAACAAGACGATGACACGGCGTTCATAATGCTCGGGGTAGGCCGAGCAGGATTGATGTGCAGCGGTGCACTGCCATCTCATGATACCTGGCGTGCGTTGCTTTTGCTTGGGGTGGGACACAGGAACACAGGCGCAACGGGCATTACACAGGGTCAGGTACACGGGACATAATGGGGCAGGAGACTAGAAGTACAACCTGGTCATACATCTATATACCCGATAAATTCTGCATGCGCTGGCCTGCAACGGCGTCGACTTGTCGAACATTCGCGTGGGACGTGTGCCAGCTCGCAGGCGTGAGAGGATACAGTGACAGCTGACACATGCATGGGCGTGATTCACGGCCGGACGCGAGGATTACGAGCATGGAGCAAACAACCTTGGAAGGCTTTGCAAGTGCTGTGCTCGGCAGTTGGACAGCTGTCGCACGCGATGGTTCCCTGTTTGGCGTCGCATGCCAGCATGTTAGCTGGCACGAAACGCTCCAGCCAAGCATGTTGACGTCAGCTGCGGGCTACTCTTGTTGGCAATCGTTTGGTGCGGTGCGAAGTGGTTGCGCAAAGGTGCCTTGCCAGCTGGAGCGGCGCTACGGACATGGTCCAAGCCACGGGGCTAACGCGCCGGAAAATCAGACGCAATCAAACCACACACGTCCACTCGTGCGCCACACGAATGCGGTGACTAGCGCGAGAGAAGGAGAAAATGGTCTGGCTACCATCACCATGGCAGAGGAGGCATGCGCCTGTGCCCGTGACTTTGGCTTCTCTTCACCTGGCGTATTCGTACACTCCCCCGTGTCAAGCGTGGTATTCTGCTCGAGGACGCGTCGGGCCGCAGAGGAGAAGTTGGGCCAAGACGGGCAGATGCAGCCACATCCACGAGCCAAGAGATGCCCAGCCGGCGGGATCCGGGGGGGCGTGCGTGTGTGGGGTCCTGTGTGCCAGGATTGGGGACGTCGCTCGCCCTTGGCAGGGTCTGTTGGCCAGCAGCAGCAGATGCGTGCTTTGTTTCGTCGGCTGGGCTACAGTACTGTTACAGTACAGTACTTGTGGTCTTGTTCCCGCCGCCCAGCGCATGCTCGTACCAAGGAAGCGTCCAGGAAGGGCTGCTCTGAGATGGTTGCCGGGACTGGTCCATGCCGTTGGCGCCACACAGACGTGTGAGGCGCGAGTGATGATGACACGCTCTTTGATCATGGGTTAAGCTTGATCCCCAGGAGGCCGCTGGGGGCGCTATTTTGCCGATGGAGATGCCCACGAAGTACCCGACGCCACGGCCTGCGATACCGAGTACAGAGAATGTACCTGAGTCGCAGATTCGGACCGCCAATCTGCCCATGGCACCCACTTGTTCAACTCATTGGACCAAGTACCCAGAAGGTACCGCCGGTACCTCTGGCGCCGACGCCCACATTCAGAGCAGGGCAGGAACGAGTCCACGCGCTGGCCCCTTTCATCCATGATTCAGAGCGCCTGCCGTTCATAATAAGTCCAGCACGAGCTCGACGTTGCATGCACCCAAATACCTGACCGCTCTTGTTGCATCAACATTGAACCTTCCTCTTCACCCGCTTCCGTGCCCGGCGTCCTTGGTCGAGCTCCCTTTCTTCGAGGACGGATCCTTCCAGCCTCGATTTCCTACACTTCCAACTTGGCAACGGTTCCTGCACACACGCGCCTTCGGCTTTTGGAATCTCTGCCTCGGACCATCGCGCTTTCAACGTCCGACCAGCTGACGCTGCTCTTCCAAACAAAGGTGTGTGTATGCTCCCCATGACGAATACAACTGCGCCATGCCCTTTCACTCATCTTGTCGGTCCCTGCGCCACGCACCGCCGGGTCCCGAGGCCGGCCAGGCGCGCCAGCTGCCCCCAGAAGTCGGCTGTGCGCTGCCGGTCGGGCTGGCCACGGTTCCTCACGCTGGTCGTGAGGGCCTGGTCGGCCGGTCCTCTTGCCGGCCGCTGCGGGAGCAGTCCTCCAAGTGGTACCATATCGTGCTCACACTGGCGGATGGTTGACAAAGGCAGACGGACAGACAGGTCTACCTTGAACGATGCTCTCACTGTGGACGAGCTAAAAGAAACGCGCATCACCCACACTAGCCCCACGACGCGAGGCCGCCCGTCGCTTGCTGAGGATTCTTCACTCCACCTTTCGACAAGCTCCATTTTAAAGGGGCCGCCCGTTTCAGAGTCACGAACCTCAACGTCTCGCTCTGCCAAGATACCATTCATTTTGCCCGTCTATCGCCTTGTCTTCCGCCGAGAGAAAGGAGGAACGAAGAACGAGTAACAGGTATTGACCAGAGCGGACGAGCTCGGCAGACGCACAAAGCCTCGCCGCCATGTCCTGTGAGTGGCCTCCCCGCCGACGATCCTGCTGGCATCGTCTTGTGCGACTATGCAAATCGTCGCAAATCAGATTCGCCATCACCTCCCCAGCTTTGTCGTCACCATTATGGTGGCCGTCCTGCATTGCGCTTCCCCTCTTTGTGCCGTGTTTGCCAGGTCTCGAACAACGGGCAACGCAAGACTTCCAGCACAGGAATCCGTTCTTGTTCCCCATGCGGTTACAACGGTCCGCCCCATTGCGCAGCACAGCCCCAATACCAAGCCTATGACCGAACAGCTATCAATCACTTTCTTTTCTCTATCCCTGTGACCGCCATGCCGCCATTCCCGGATATTAGGCGACTTGCCCCCGCCATGGATCCACTGCGTGTCTAGTGACAAGCTTGTCGTCTGTCGGATTGCTCTCGCCGTCCTGATTTACACCTCTCTGTCCTGCCTCATCATCACCTGTCTCTCCCTCCGCATCTTGCGCCCATCCATTTCTCCCCGCGATTCGTCAACGCCGCAGGAAGGGCGTGCGCACTTCGAGTGCTAACATGTCCCGCGATACCATCGCGATCGCAGTCAATCACTTTCGGAATAAGCGCCAGGCGCACACTGTCAGCCGATCGAGCTACGATCAAGCATGGAATCCCTTCCGACATGTTGCGTGGAACAACAGAGAGCGCCGGGCGGATACGTGGAATGGTGGTCGTCTGGAGGAGCAGCCCGAGGGCTCGGGTGACCACCTAACCCACGCGGCCACAGCCCCAACACCACCGACCGCGACGACCCATGCGGCCCGCGACTTGTCGGCGACGGACACCATATCTGGTTCCGTCACCGGATTTGGAAAGGAGACGGAAGAGTCAGCACGAACCAGGAGCAAAGGCAACAGTGAGGAAAAGCCGGGCTCACAACGGTCACTCGATGTCGAGGGCTCTGGCCTACGAAACCGCAAACCCGACGACGAGGTCTCCAGGCAAGATGCTGCAGCGCCTGGCCAGACATCCACTCAAGCCGATGACGACAAGAAGAAAGAAAAGCAGACTGGTCTGTTTCGCCACGTCTATCCGAAGACGCCGTTTACGACCGCCAACCAACTCCAGCGGACGTTTCTCAATTCATGGATCAACATCTTGCTCCTCGCAGCGCCTGTCGGAATTGCACTCAACTACGTCAAATCGGTGAATCGCGTCGTGGTTTTCGTCGTCAACTTCATCGCTATTATACCGCTGGCTGCCATGCTCAGTTTCGCCACGGAGGAGATTGCGCTCCGCACGGGCGAGACGCTTGGAGGACTCCTCAACGCTACGTTCGGCAACGCCGTCGAACTGATTGTCGCAATCATCGCCCTCAAGGATAAAGAGTTCACAATTGTCAAGACGTCTCTGATCGGATCCATTCTCTCCAACCTGCTCCTCGTCATGGGCTGCTGCTTCTTCTTCGGCGGCCTCAGACGCCAAGAGCAGTTCTTTAACACAACAGTGGCCCAGACCGCCGCGTCACTCCTTGCTCTCGCAGCTGCGTCCGTCATCGTCCCAACCGTTTTCGATTCGGCCCAGGACACGGGCCCCGATAGGGTCTCTGCTTTGTCTCGTGGCACGGCAATTATCCTGCTGCTTGTCTACGCTGCCTACCTCTTTTTCCAGCTGAAGACCCACCAATTGGTCTTCAACGAGGAGAGCCAAAAGGTCCCGGCCAAGCCCTGGAGCTCTGGCGGCCTCGGCGCTGGCGCGATCAAGCAGGGCCTCGCAATGCCTGGGTCTCTTATGGGCCATGCAATGCCAAACCAGTCCGAGAATGAACGGCTTTCAAAAATGCTGATGAATCCATCGGAAGCGGCCGACGAAGACGAGGAGGAAGAACCTCAATTGCACTTTCTTGTTGCTTTGGGTACTTTGGCGGGCTCGACTGTCATCATTGCCCTCTGCGCAGAGTTCATGGTCGATTCGATCGACTCCGTCACCAAAGGCCCGAACGGACAGCCTGGCCCTCTCTCTGTCGAGTTTGTCGGTCTCATCTTGTTGCCAATCGTTGGCAACGCCGCTGAGCATGCCACAGCTGTCACGGTTGCTATCAAGGACAAGATGGACCTTGCCATTGGTGTTGCCGTCGGATCCAGCATGCAGGTTGCCTTGTTCCTGATACCCCTCCTTGTTGTCATTGGGTGGGGCATGGGCTATGAGGAGATGAACCTGAGCTTTGACAACTTCCAAGTCGCGGTTATGTTCGTCGCCGTCTTGCTTACGAACTACCTCATTGGCGATGGCAAGAGCCACTGGCTGGAGGGCTTTCTGCTCATCTGCCTTTACGCCATTATCGCTGTCTGCTCGTTCTGTAAGTTCGCCCTGCCGTTGGACATTTAAGAGTAGTTACTGACATTGCGCAGATTACCCGAACGATGCAGCTCTTGGTCCGCAATCGTGAATGGATCATGCACATCGACATATTCTGTGAATTCACGAGCATATGCCGCCAACCCCTCGTATTCTTCAATACCCATCCTTGCACAACCGTGCTTGTCCTTTTCCTTGGCACATACGATTCTCTTTTCTTGTGTATTTACTTGTTGGGGCTACTGCTTTGGGGCCACTGTAACATACTAGGCGCCATGGGAGCTCTCTGGCGCTCGATTTTATACTGGCGCACTACGGCGTTACCCCTTCAGTGCAAGCTGAAGGGAGTGAATGGGGGTGGACGGAGTTGGATGTCCTGCCTGAATCTGGGGTGCAGGATCTGGCAGAAGCAGATAGAGAGCGTTCGCGCCGGCGACTACTCTAGGTCAGCGAGGCATAAATTCAGCACTCACGGCGACCTAGGTAGAGAAAGAAAGGGGCGAACCCCCACATGATATCGTATTGGTCTTGATGCGTGCTTCTGTGATCCGCGTGACTACATTGTAACTACAGCGCTCTGTTCCTTTCGCCAGGGACGAATACTCGAAACATTATCTGATTATACATGAAAACTTGCTCCGTGGATTTCGTCTCTCATATATCGAACAGATCGTTCTCTCGGCGCCGAGGAGCGGTATACCCTAAACAGCAACGCTTCGCGAGAATGAGCACCCCATCTTGACGCTGCCTTCACTTGCCCTTGGAGCCGAGTCCCATGCCGTCAAACTGCACGCTGCCCCTGCGCATAAACGTCATGGGGCTGCCCAGCCGCATGCTCGCGGCCAGCGCCGCGGCGCTCCTCTCGTTGCCGTCGCCAAGTCCAGCCGCACCGCCCAGCACACCAGGCGGCAGCCCGAGCGAGGGGATGCTAGCCTCCGGCACGGGCTCGAGGCCGGGCGGCCCCGTGGCGATGGACGAGGGCGTGTCGTGCACGCGCTGGCCCTTTTCGAGCGTTTCCTTGTAGAAGGCCTCGAGGGCAGCGGCGTCGTTGCAAAACGTCTCGAATTCTTCCTTGATGCCCTCTGCCACGCCGCCGCGACCGGACTGCGCTTTGCCACCGTGCGCGGATGAGTTGGTGCCAATTGCTGGTGTATCGACGGCTCGGAGGGCTGGGGACTGGTAGTGAAACGTCGGGCGCACCATCGGTGAGGCGGAACCGGCTGCAGGAGCAGGCTCGGACATGCTTTGTCCGCCGTACACCCCGCCGATGCTCATGAGTCGCCCCGCGCGATCGAGGTGCGTGGGCTGTTCGGACGGTCCCTGTGCGCGTATCTCCTTGTCCCGGGCGGCGCCAAAGCTTTTGTTATAAAGCCGATTCGCCAGCACGAGAAAGTTGCCGTCGTCGGTTATCTGCGCGAGGAGGGACCCGGACCGGTGTATGTACTGGGTGTACTTGAACTCGGGTTTGCCCCACGAGTACCGCACATCGACGTTACTCGGGAAGTTGCTTGCGGCCTCGAGATCGAGGACGAAGTCGAAGCTTTTGAGGATGGCAGACTGGTAGAAGTTCTTGCTAGGCGCTGCCTGGGGGCCGAGAGAATTCGGGTCGTAATACGCCTCGGGCTTCTCGTCTGGCGGACGCGCGGCGAGCTTGATGCGGAATGGCTTGCGGAAAGGATTGGATTCCGTAATGAGAGACGCCTCCTTGATGGGCACCTCGACGAGCCGTAGGCCGTACTGGCTGGCCTCCCGTTCCCAGCTCTCAATGACATCTTGCACCAACTTGGACGTCGCATTCATCCAGTCAATGCGGATATGGAAACAATTGTCTGGGTTGTGAAGGCGGTCGTAGTGCAGGTCGATGCGCTCGGGGCGGTATGACCTCTTTCGAGGGTCAATGTCGTATTTGATCACCTTGCTCAACACGACGCGAGGCCGGTTTTTGTTTCCAAAACCTGTCGAGACAATCGGCGTGGGGGCGGCAGAAGCAGGCGATAAACCGTCGGCTGAGCCTGGGGCGCGCACACTGGCATGCGGCGAGTCGCGACCCGTCTCGGACAGAGGCGTCGGCGGCACCGATGATGCGTCCTTTCGCTTGGAACTGAACCAACCAGGCTGCGCCTTTGCAAACTCGGGTGCCATCTGGTAAAAGTAGTTGCCGTCTCGGAACCTGTGGCGCTTTTCGACGTGTACGAATAGCCCCTTCTCATGCGGGCCCTTGGGCTCGGCACCATCCTTTTCTTTGTCCTTGTCTTTGATCTTGGGTTCTTCCTGTACCATCAACGCATTACCCAGCTGCTCTGCCTCTTCACGATCCTCCAAATCTTCAAAGTTGTCCAGAAGCCAGGTTGTCATGTCGGAGCCAATGAAGGCTGCACTATGCATCCGCAGATGCCATCGTCTATTCCGCAAGGGCACACCGCCGTTCTCAACGGGTTGCTGGATTGCTTCAGCGAGGGCCGCAAGGTTGAGGTGCGACTTCTGGAATCTCTCCTTCCTCGTCACGAGCTTTCCCTTGCGTTGCAGGCCATCTAGGCCTTCCAGCAACGGCAGCGTCTCAAGCTCGGCCGCAATAACCGCCGAGGGATCATCTGTCTTGTAAATGATGTCCAAGGGGTTTCGGCGATTGTCCCGCGTCTGAAATCGCTTCTCAGAGGGAGGGAAGTAGCGGTTCTTTTGCCAAAGCTGAGCTAACCGCTTGATGCCTTCGATTCGCAATTCTTCGGGGTTGTCGCCAGTCTGCGTCCTCGGAATGGAAGGGTGTTTCGGGCTGAGAGGAATCAGAACGTACCGGGCGCGCCAGAACCTGAGACTCTCCATCATCTCGTCATGATGGCCGGCGAGGAATGAGTCGATAGTGTTCCAGTTGCGCTCCAGTTTGGGTGTGAGAATGTCAACCTTTCGAGTCTCGTAGCTGTCATCGAGCAGCGTTCGAATGGCCGGCTTGTAAACCGTGGAGAATCCTTCGGATACAGAAGACTCGGCCGGTTTGCGCACGTATATGTTGACCTCCACTTCTGTGCCGTTGACACAAGAAAGTTGATGAATTGTATTCCCAACTGACATAAAAACGCTCGTGCCATCATCCAACGGTTGGTCTCGGGAGAAAATATCCGCGATTTTGATGAGCTTCTGTCCAAATGCCTGCGCCACGGAAGGCCCAACGATGACCTGGAAGCCATGTGAGAAGCGCATGCTGATGAGCTCCTTGATGAATTCCTTTCGGGACTTAGGTTCCTCAGCTACGTCATCATCGGCATTTTGATCCACGTTGTATGGGTGTCGCTGGTACTCCGCGTCGAACTGGGCCTTCGGAGGGAAATATTCGGTCGTAAGGGGCACAGCGGCAGGGCAACAGAGCGTCTTCCATTTTTGTACCTTCATGTCCGAGGTTCGTGGGAAGACATGCTGCCATCGACTGTACAGGACGGTATCGTCTATGCGATGATGTTCTGGATTGGATGGGTTGAGGAGACTGAGCCAAGGCGTGACGGCGGTCTTTGGAGACAATGTCGTCGGTAGCTCGGGCACTACTCCGGCCCGCAGCTTGCTGGTGTACACCTTTTGCGCGTCCTCGGCCCGCAAAGCGTTGGAGTACCGTACGTCGTTGTCATCCTCATGCCTCTCTCGCCTGATGTTTGGCTGTGGGAAGGCAGTTGGTGGCGGTACGAGGTAACTGGTTGCCACATCTTGTCTGGTCGGTCCATCTCGCTTCGAAATCGGGATGCTGGGTGTGGCCGAGATTCCCTCAGCTATGGACTCGCGTGCGTCGGATTTCGATTTACGCGCCGACGAAGAAGATGTGGCACTCGCAATTGTCTGTGGTGTCGTTGGCCTCAAATCCGAAAGAGACCTCGGAGCAGACGGTGGCCGCAGATCGCCTGCTGATACAACAGCGGCACTGACGGTCTCCGCCTTGACCTCTGCCACTGCTGCCTTTGGAGCAGCAATTCCGAATCCTCGTTGACCTAGACTGATGTGCCTCATAAACTTTGGGGTCTTTGGAGTCTTTGGTGCCGTCTCCGGCGGGGGCAGCTTGGGTGTCGGGATCGAATGCTCCCTTGGCTTTCTTTCGATGGCCATATTTGGTTTTTCTACTTCTGCTGTGGTCAGGGAGAATTTCCTAGAAGCCGCCTGACCATAGTGCTTCCTCTCTGGCAGAGAGGTCCCTAACGCGGTAGCGTCCTCAGACTGCTGCCTTCGAGGCATGTCGTCCAGTTCAATTCGATGCTTCGAGGAGTGATGGTGGTGCCGTGCGGACAGGTGGCTTCTGGAGTCATCAAACTCCTGTAAGTGTTTCCATATTGACTTCTCTCCAGGGCGTGCGAGCCTATCGGGAGCAAACTTTTGGAAGCCGATGACACTGTCGACGAGAGTCTCCGGAGCCCGCCGGTTGGGGATATAAAGCGTGTCGCCAATGCGATCCTGGCGCCGCTTCGAAGCGGCTGTGCCTTCAATGGCATGCGTTGGGTAGTGAGGGTCTGACTGCAGCGGAGCAGCCTCGATCTCGTTGGCATCTAAGACGCTCCGCATCTGCAAGTCGTACATACGGCATCTAATCCTGAACTCGTCCTCGTCGTCCTGTTCGACCCTATTCGACACAGTGAGAGCAATGCCCGCGTAAGACAGTGCTTCATTGGAGGTGCCGGTCCAGAAAGAAACATGTAGCCATTGAGGCAGGGCGTAGCACCACTCCTCATTTGCTGCCATCGAGGTAAGGGACTCGATACGGCGCGCAGCTGTAGAAGCTTTGGTGGGCGAGAAAGACCCAGTCAAAGACTGATAACTACCAACGACGGGCGTTGGCTGATTCGGCGTACTATCGCGGCTCTGGTATGACCTGGAAAACGATGCGCCCTGGCCAAGCGGGTGGTCTTCAGAGAACCGGGGATTCCTGTACTTGAACAGAGGAACGGAGTGCAGCGGCATCCTGGGCATGCATATGAGATCTATGCCCATTCCGTTGCCTACCAAGGCTTCCGTGGTCCTCCGCAAAGTCTCGTAGTCGACCTCAAAGATCCCCGGGCCCGGGGTGATGACAGCGATGGAGATGCCGGTGCGAGTGAGATCTCTGTCGATGTAATCGTGGGCGAATTGTGATGCCGCTAGATTGATGGCCTCGAGCACGTTTCCGTGAACGGAAAGTGACGATTCCGCCTTGATCCTTGTCACTGGGCCATCTTTGCCTCCGAACTCGTCTGAGCAATGGTCCCAAAAGGCGCCAACGTGTTGATGGTGGAGACTTATGTCTCGTCGGAAGAAGTTGAACTCCCTTTTGAGCTGATAGAGAATCTTTGTCCACTCTCCGCTGGCCATCTGGCTGACCACCACCCGGTAAAAGTCCTTGTACGGCCGGCGGTTACCGTATGGCTGTACTCCCGTGTAGTAGTCGCTCTGCAGCGCTTCGGTCGCCAGCTCGCTTGAGATGCCAGTGTCGTATTCCACGCGCGCGAAAAGGACTATGCTGACAAGATGTTTCACTCTCAGAAGAGCCCAGCGCTTGAACATGGCGGGAAGAAAGCCGTTGACGACCTTGTTGAACATGATCTCCCCAGAGCTCTCCGAGTCAAAGTCCCACATCTCCCGGGACATTTGTATGAAGAGCATGTATCTGGCGGATTCGCTGCGGAAGATTGGCCTGGTGTCTCGGACAAAGAAGGCAGAGTGCACGTTCTGGCCCTCGACGAAGACCGCCGTGACCTGGGCCTTAATGGTGCCCATAAAGAGTATGGACTGTCCCTTGTACACAGTCTTCTGCGTCAGCTCCCCGACGGTCAGCCTCCACATGTCTGCCCTGGAAAGATATTGATCCTTGAAAGTCATCTCGACGTGCGTAGCCTCGGTCGCGGGGTGGTCCTTATCGACCTTCATCATGTCGTCAGCGATGCTGTTTCTGCCATAAGTGGGGTGGGGCAAGTACCGGAGCAAGCAACACCTGATGGCCCTTCTTCATGCCGAAGGCGTCGGCAATATGCTTGACAACGTAGACCTCGGCCTCGGGATACCGGGCCTTCATCTCCTTGGTCATATCCTTCGCCACGAAGATGTATCGGTGGTGAGCGCAATCGTGATCGCCCCCCATTGCCCTCGCGCCATCGCAGTGATCGTGAGACGGCTGCTTGTTGAGGCTCCCGTAGGCACCTGAGGAGGTGCGCGCGGAATCGCCTTTGGCCAGAACGGTGATGGACATGAGGGATCCGGGTTTAACTTCGGGGCCGAGCAGGTCGAGGTTGAGGAGGACCTCATCGCGGACGTAGCTCTCGTTGACGGTGACATGGCAGTATCTCTCGGTGCGGCGACGGCCCCTGTCGTCTCTTATAGTCGAATGCGTCGAGTTGCTACCAGGGGAGCCAGGCGAAGTGGCGAGAGGGCGGTGGAGGTGATGGTGATGATGGTGGAAGGGGTGATGGTCGTGGCCGCCGCTCGTCTGCCGGAGATGGGACCATCGTGGACCCCGGCGCGGGCCCGACGGTGCTGTTCCGGCATTTCGAGACATGGAGACGACTCGAGTCTCATCCCAGGGACGTGATCGGACCGCGTGCAAGCAATTGCATGGCGGAGATGTGAGCGCGAGGATGGCGGGCGGACAGAGCTGCGCTCCGATGTTGTCAGTTGACGTCGCGGCAGAATTGAGGCGCGCAGCTCCGCCGCTGCGGGCGGCGACACACCGCCTTCTACTTTTGGCCCACACCAAGCGCCCCATGGGTACCCACGATGTTGCCATCGATCGCAGGCCGGCCTGTGAACTGCACGATAATCATGCAAAGGTGCTAACGGCTTTACGATAGGTGTGAATGTAGTAGTGCGAGCGCACCTACTAGTCTGGGCCTCTGCTTGCTCCTAGTGGCGGCTCATGGCGGCTCATGCTTCGCGGCCAGATGCGAGGTAGGGCCCAGTGCACTCACATCTACAGCACGGCCACACTTCTCGTAGCAGCAAACTAATGCACGCCCATGAGGGCCAACATATGAACTGAGGCAATTACTAACTGAACAATAAGATCAAGTCCTGTAAATGACACGAAATTCCCCGGCCGGCAATAAATTCCGAGTCGTGGTGAACAGACAGTCCACTTCGGGAACCGACGCCGACTACCGACATGGGTCCGCCAAATGCCCGGCTAACACAGCACTGTTAAAGACCCCGAGGAAAACGCTGAATTTTGATACTATGACCGATAAATCTGGTCTTCAAAGGACTCATGATGGTGCAACTACCCGAGCCGCTTGCCAACTTCCCTCGAGCCCAGCTTCTTTACCCTGGGCCTAGTTCTCTCCACCGACTCGACAGATTGAGCTCCAACTATGCGGATCAAAACATCAGCGTATGGGTCAAGCGTGAAGATATGAACTCGCCCATTGGCCTCGGTGGCAATAAGATGCGGAAACTTGAATACATCGTCCCCGAGATTCTCGCCAGAGGGTGCGACACCTTAGTCACGATTGGCGGAACGCAGTCAAATCATTGCCGCCAGGTAGCAGCACTCGGCGCAAAACTGGGCTTGAAAGTGATCACCGTCCATCAAAAGCGAGGGTTGGAGGAGACAGAACAATGGAGACGATTCGGAAACCAACAACTCTCTCGCCTGATGGGTTCTTCGGCCTACTTTGCGGGAAATGCAGATGACGTGCTACAAAAGGTCCGAGACAGTGGAGGCAACCCATACTTCATTCCTGCGGGTGCAAGTCGCCATCCTCTAGGAGCTCTCGGGTTCGTACGATGGGCATTTGAGCTGGAAGAGCAGGAGAAGTCCATGGGCGTTTTCTTCGAGACCGTCACTGTATCGTCGCATAGCGGAGCAACGGCCGCAGGCATGATTTCGGGATTCAAGTTGTCGTCGGTCTTACGACAGCGCAAGGGAGAAGACGTGCGACAAAGGAAGGTCGTATCTATCGATGCGGACAACAGAGACCCCAAGGTTCTTAGGGACATTATTCTCGGCATCGCGAAGAACGCGGCTTTAAAGATCGGACTGAACCCAGACACGCTTACGGAAGACGATGTGATCGTGGAAGACAGGTTTGCAGCAGGGGCGTATGCCAACCCGGATAGAGGCACGTTGGACGCATTGCGGATGGCAGCGTCTATGGATGCCCTGATACTGGACCCTGTGTACTCGGGCAAGGCGTTCGCTGGACTGTTGGGACTCCTTGGAGCCAAGCAGATCCGAAGCGGGACCAAGGTGCTCTTTGTTCATACAGGTGGTCTGCCTGCACTAGGTCTATATAGCCAACTGTAATACAAGCCCTTGACAGTATGGAAGCGTGTCCAGTTCTTACGTGGAGCGTAGATATCCTCATCAAAGTGCTGTAGATGCCGCAAGTTGCTAGTAGAGGGGCGCACCAGGGGCTCTAGACACGGCGACCACGTTGTACCTACGGAAACTCGACCGGTTTCGCATCCGAACTGACAAATAGCTTCACTCGCCCCGACCAGGCAGCCGGACAATTCCCTTTACTCTCGATTACCACCGTTTCCGAGCCATCTAGCTTCGCAACTAGCGAATACAGTCTCCAACTAGTAGCGCTCCTCAGATGTGTGTCATCCGTAGAGATAATGAATATCGGTTACATCATTCAAGGACCATTCTTACTGGCCCATTTGACCCTGTCCAGGCGGTCGCTCCTCTCGGAGGAGCTTCCCGACGCAGATGCCGCAGTGCACAGTCTGGTGGGGTGCAGCAACACGTCCACAGAGCTGATAAAGAGAACCTTCATTCACCCCATGTTCTATGCCATCTCACTGTGCATTCAAACCTTCACCCCAATACGTACGTAACATCGAGCAATCACAAGACCGCAAGATGCCTTCAAGCCACACGAAGCAAGTTATCTCTACCGACCAAGCTCCCGCCCCACGCAAGGGACTCTACAGCCAGGCTATCATTGCAGGCAATCTTGTTTTCTGCTCCGGGCAGACCCCAGTTGATCCGAAGACTCCTGGCCAGTTGAGCGACGGGGGAATCCGCGAGCATACGGTAAGCACCCGATAGAGGATGCCTGAAGCCCGACTGACCCAATCAGCAACAATGCATTGCGAATCTAGAAGCGGTACTCCACGCAGCTGGCTCAGACCTGTCCAAGGTCGTCAAAGTAAATGTGTACATAACCGACATGAATGACTTCGCAGCCATGAACGAAGCATACCAAGGACATTGGGGCTCAGGGCTGCCCACTCGAACGTAGGAAGATCGACTCCGGTAGATATGACGAGGCTAATCGTTAATTAGGTGCGTAGTAGTGAAGGAACTCCCCCGTGGGGCAGATGTTGAGATGGAGTGTGTGGCTACTGTAAGATAGCAGATGCGGGCCTCGCCCAACATAAAGTCCCGGCCACCCGAGTAGACTTGCTTAGGAAAGATCGGATCTTGGAAATGCAATGGCTTCAATATCTCCAATGCATATCAATGTCTTCTGGATGAAAGACTGTCTTGATTGCCCACTGGCCAAGGGCACTGTAAGCTCTGGCTACATGTAGACGACCCGGAGTCGTGCATGTCTATCCGTCGGCCGGATGCCCGTGATCGCGCGTGGTTCATTTCGTCACGCACTTGACACACAGCGAGAAAGAGAGGGTGCAAAACCTCTGCAAAGATGCCTACCAACTGTGCGAGAAGGGCGCCGGAATTATTTGCCGAGCTTCAATCTCAGTCTCTCACAGGCCGATCATTCTTGGCGCCGGGATTTGGTGCCGAGCTTCGGTCTCAAGGGCCGACCGTTCCTGGTACCCCGTGTTTACACTGGCTACACTGCGTGACACCAAACAAACATATAACATGTGCACCAATTGCACCATCATGTTTTGTGCTTGTGTTGCCCAATTATTTACCGTGAACATCATCAAAATGCCTGGTCTGAATCCCATTTCTCGCTATGAGCGACCTTCGCCTTTCCAACGCGCTGACTCGGACAACACGAAACAAGAAATCATGCACGAAGAGGTAGTTTCACCCGGAATCAAGGAGACGAACACAGCGCAACCCGGCCGTGGAGAACTCGTCCGCGGACTCAAGCAGCGCCATGTGGCAATGATAGCTATCGCCGGTTCCATTGGTACTGGATTGATCATTGGCACAGGCGCTGCCCTCGCAAAGGCCGGCCCCGCCGGTATATTCATCACCTACTCCATGGTAGGCCTCATTGTCTTCCAGGTGCTAAGCGGAATGGGTGAGATGGCTGCATGGCTACCCATGCCATCAGGCTTCACTGGCTATGCCACGCGCTTTGTCGATCCGTCTCTGGGGTTTGCTCTGGGCTGGGTGTATGTATCCGGATCCGTCTCGAGGTCTTTGGCTAATCAATTGTAGCTACTGGTGTAGGTATATCGTCGCTATGCCGAACCAGCTAGTAGCCTCGTCCCTGGTCATCCAATACTGGCTGCCGAGTGATAAGGTAAATCCGGCGGTGTTCGTCGCCATCTTCCTGGTAGCCATTATCTTTATCAACTTTTTCGGGGTCGCCGTATTTGGCGAGATGGAATTTTGGTTCGGTCTCATCAAATGCATCACGTTACTCGGCCTGATCATCCTGTGCGTTATCCTTGCTGCAGGAGGGGGCCCAAATCACCACGCTACTGGATTCCAATACTGGTCTGATCCTGGAGCTTTTCACCCTTACATACTACGTGAGAACTCTTTCATAGCTATCCAGCTTACTTCGACTCTAATAAAATTGATAGATGGCTCTGCGGGCAACTTTCTTTCGTTTTGGTCTGGTTCCATTGACGCCGTTTTCGCATATGCTGGCATCGAGCTGATTGGCGTCACTGCCGGCGAAACTCAGAATCCCACGAAAGCCATTCCAAAAGCGATCAGGCTAACCTTTGTGCGCATATGCTTCTTCTATGTTGCCGCCGTGTTTGTGTTGGGCCTACTTGTGCCTTACAACAGCGAGGAACTCCTCTTTGCTGTTAAATCCAGGGCCTCTGCGAATGCTAGTCCGTTTATTGTGGCTGTTGTTCTGGCGGGAATCCCAGTGCTGCCAGGCTTCTTCAACGCTTGCATCCTATTCTTCACATTCTCAACAGCTAGTTCTGGTGCGTGCTTCCTGGATTGTGTAAATACTGCTCTGACACGCGATAGATCTGTACGTCGCCGTGCGGACCCTCTACGGCCTTGCAAAAGAGAATAAGGCACCGGCTATATTCGCTCGAACAGACAACCGAGGAGTGCCGCTCTATGCTCTTGCTGCAAGCTCCATTTTCGGCTGCTTAGGCTTCATGACTGCGCGGTCGGCTGGAAAAGTTGTCTTCACTTATTTGGTCAACGTGTAAGACCCCTCCGCTGTGGCGATGTCCCCATACTGATGATATAAAGAGTTACTATTTTTGGGCTTCTCACTTGGATAAGCCTTCTGGTCGCGCACATTGGCTTTGTGCGCGCCAGGCGGGCGCAGGGCGTAGCCAATTCGCAGATGCACTACGTTGCTCCTGCTGGGATCATTGGCTCCTACGCAGCTCTGGTTGTCTGCGTATTGATTGCCCTGTTCAAAAACTTTGATGTTTTCGTCCCCTCTGTTAATGGAGGACAATTCAACTACAAAGGCTTTATCACGGGATATCTGGGCATTCCCCTCTATCTGGTGCTGATATTTGGGTGCAAGTGGTACTGGCGCCCGCGCAGAGTAAGAGCCGAGAGCGCAGATTTGTTTTCAGGGAGGGAAGCGATGTGCGAGGAAATAGATTCTGCACGTGAATCTGAAGAATGCGAGAGGCCTGCCTGGAAACGCTATACCAGTTGGCTTTGGTAAGATAGTCAGACACCCTTACAGTCCGAGAATATGCTCTGTGTACACAGCTCGTACATTGGAAGGTGTGGTGCAAGAGCATTTGGAATTCTAGTACTTCTAGCATAATCCTGTTATCTCATCTTGGACACATTCATCCACCCGAAAATGGAGAAAAACTATTGAAACCCAATGAATTGATCTAGAGATGCACTACAGGCTCATTCCCAACATCTTTCAGAGCATCTTGCAGCCCCATCACAGCCTTCTTTATCCCGGCCTTCACACTCTCAGGCGGCGGCGGATATGGTCTCCGTGGCAGCACCTTGTCATCAGCATCTTTTATCCCCGCAGCTTTTGCACTCGTAAGGGACACCGCGAATTTCGTCGCGGCAACGCTCATACGGCAAACCTGCTCTGCCAAAGATATTGCCCGCTGAACTGCCATGGCCTCATCTACATGTCCCGCCTTGTAACGGGTATATACCCGCACCACTGCGGCTGGACACACATTTGCCATGGCGGCAATGCAGCCCACGGAGCCAGCAGCCATTCCACCAATCAAGAAATCTGACTGTCCGCCAAAAGTTGAGAACCGCCAAGGTCGGAATGTAGCTGCCAGGCGGACGATCTTGCCGACATTACCGCAGGTAAGCTTAACACCCACAATGTTGTTGTGGCGTTCCGTCAATGCGATGATGGTGTCTGTGTCCATGTCCACGCCGTTACAGACCGCTGGAAAATTGTATATGACGATAGGCAAAGGCGACTTGGCGGCGATCTCATTAAAGAAATCGAACAACACCGCGGTGGTTGTTGCTTTGCCGAAGTAAGCCGGGGGCAGAACGAGAGCGTAGTCGGCGCCAGCGTCTGCCGCGTCTGCAATGTTTTCTAACACCTGGCGAGTAGAGTGCTGGCCTACGCCAGCCATGATGGGGAAGCGAGGGCCGACTGCCTCTCGGGCAGCAACTATCAACGTTGACCGCTCAGCCCGGGTCAAGAGGAAAGCCTCAGGGTTCGTTCCAAGCACCACTAGGCCGGTGAGGCCGGTGGTTGAGAGGTATCGATAGTATCGTCTTTGTTCAATTAAGTCGATCTGATCGTTCTCATGATCGAAGAACGTGATGGCTGGGCACCAGACTCCCGCTGGTGGAACAGGTGCTGGGGTAGTCGCTATGAGCGCTGTCTGTGAGGCTACAGGCATATTTTCGTTTGCTTTTAGAGTCGCCGTTGCTTGTAGCAGCTGAACACAATATGAAACTTCGGCTTAATCATTTCAATGTACAGGAACGTTAACTTTTGAACAATTTTGGCCCTTATTCGAGCTTCTCCGTCATCATATCGGGTCTCGGTGGCGGTTTCCGCCTCTTCGGCAAGCGGTGCCGAACCCCGCCATCGGACATCCTTGTGGTCGCCGGGCAAAGCCATTGCTCGTCATTCCCTACCCCTACATGGCCGTCTCCAGAAAACACCAGAGTTAGGTACCGGCCCTAGGACGCCTGCCTCGTATATGTGATGCCCGGTGACAGCAGCCGGCGGAAGGCCAAAGCGTCAGTCACCCACCTCACTGCTGGTTAGTCGCACACTCACTCCAAGGGACGCAGGTGTCTCCGTTGTAAATCCAAGAAGATCAAATGCACTGGCACAACGCCGTGTTTGCACTGCATTCGGCATTCTGTCGACTGCGTCTTCGAAAATAACGGAAAGAAGATCTGGATCTCTGAGAAGTGCCGAGTTCTACACCCTTGAGCGATCTCGGCTGACATGCATGCAGCAAGTTCCACCAACTCCAGGCAAAGGTGCTACATCTGGAGAGAAAACTCGCCGAATCTGCTGCAGAACCGGTAACACCAGGTAACTTGGCTGTGCATGAGGCTGAGACAGAATGTGCGCCAGTACAGCAGGAGCTACCCAGTTTTCAACTGACTCCAAGCTCGCGGCCGAGCGTTCCATACCATGCGAGCGACGGAATATCTCCATGTGGACTCGAGCTTTCAGACGCAACATGCCACTCTACTACGGAGGGAGACGAGGCAGACCATGCACAGTCCTCAAACAGCCTCCACACAATAACCGGTCAGTCGTTCACCTGGCTGTTCGGGCGAAATGGCCAGACTCTCGTCGCCAATGCACTACACGGGTCTGAGGAGCACATGCATGGTCCGGAAGCGCACGAAACGTACCCGCTGGTGTTACAGAAGTTGCCCGATGAACTTCCCTGTGATGAGTTCGTCGAATACATGGTCCAGACGACGCTGTTCCGCCTCGGCCCGGTGTACTACCTTGTCGACAAAGTCAAATTTCTCGCTCGCATGCAAATGTTTTACAAGGACACCAAGCGCGGCGTGCGTAATGTGACAGGGCTATGGTTCGTTCAATTGCTTCTTTTTGTCGCACTGGGGAAACTGTTTGTCGGTGTTGCGCCGTCAGATATCGGCCCTCCTGGTGCGCCGGAATTCGTACGTGCCATGAGACTACTTCCAGACATCACGGCCTTACATGTGGACCCAGTTCATTCTATGGAGGTGCTGTGTCTGGTGGCTTTGTATTTGCTCTCGTCCGACAGGTCACATGCCGCATATTCCACCGTAAGTGCCATGACCATCATTCCAGCAAGATGCTAAGTCATGTCAAGATAAGCCAAGCACATAGCCTCGCAGTCTCATATGGCACCTGCCATGGCCAATTGTCAGACGAAGAAAGGGAGCATTTCCGTCGTCTCTGGTGGACCATTTACATCATCTGCGTCAAAGCCTGCGATGCAGGCGGCATCTGTCCGAGCCTGACGGAGGGCGAAATAGCCATAGGCCTCCCAGAAAATGATGACGGAGGCATCAACTCGTGCATTCGCCTACATGCAAAAGTGTGCACCCTCACGGCAAGACTGTCAAAGTGTAAGTGCAGCACGGCCAGGTATGAATGGACACTTACACGGGCAAAGCTGCACACCGAGTCAACGGCGATTACGTTTCAGGACTCGAACAAGTCTTCGTATCTATGAACGCTCTCGCGGACGAATTCATCGAACGCTTCCACATCACGCTATCGCGACCGGCGACAATTCGCCGAACAGCAGCAACACTCCACCTAGCATATCATCAATGCACCATCATTGCCAGCCGCCCCATTTTTGCAGCCCAGCTTCGTTCTGTGGTAAATGGCTCAGACGCCAGACCGCTGTCCGAACCGGCAAGCACGGTATTCAACACTTGTATCGAAGCGGCCAAATCTAACCTGAAGATCCTCTGGGTGTTGCATCAGCAAACGCGACTTGGTAAGTATTGCAGCAATCTTTACGTAAATTCTTTCTAATTTCAGTTAGATCCCTTTCTACCATTTGATACAGACTGGATGTACTCGGCTGCTTCGATTCTTTCGCTATCTCGTTTGATGCGATATATGCCTCCTGAATGTGACACAAGGCTGCAACAGGCGTCTGTCATGTTAGCTTGGATGGCGGCGAAAGGCGACCGAGTCGCACATCGAGCTAGCATGTCACTCAACGAGACGCAGTCGTTGGTGGGGGCACTGTTGAGCCGGCGGGAGCACGGCGTTGAAACAAATCTGCCACCTTTTGTGTCCTCGCCGAATTGGCTTTGGGACTCGTTGGATATTGAGGAGGGTGCGACGAACCAGCCGCTTGATCCGACGCAGCTTAATAGTTCTGTCTTCGATGGTGAAGTAGGGGGGCTCTTTGAAGAGCGGTGGCTATGGTACCAGATGTAGTCAGGGTTCAGTTAGAGTGGGTTAGAGCTTGGCAGCGTTACTTACACCCACGAAGCATTCCCACGTTACCTGTGGTCTCAGGTATTTGCAGGGTGCTCACATGCACGGCAATCACGGAGCTCACAAGCGCGACAGTCAAGCTGCTTCACGGCACTTTTCCTCGGCATCGCCCGTTATACGATGCCACCTTTCACCCGGCGAGCATCCGCGCACGCCTACGCAACCCGGTTCCTGATGAGTGATTGCATCATCGACTCTCAGTGCGACCGTTTCGTGACGCTCCACGTCCCGCGTTTGCGTCCCGGTTCCTCCCCCGAATGGTTGCGGTTTACAGAGCGCGCTCAGTGCGTGACCCTGGATGATGGCGCCTCTCTGAGGGGCATCGCGAGTGCCCGGGGCTCTCAAGGGCCCCAAAATGCTTTCCCCAAAGCATGAATGTTCCCGCGATCCTGCTGGGTGTGCGCCGCCACCAGATGAGCTTCCGTAGCTCACTGGGCACAGCATGCGCGTAAACCCTCTGCCAAGATATCTTTTTAACTTATTTCGTCTGATCCTCGTCTGGATCCCAGAATCCCAGACCCAGCTCGCGAGTCGGTGATGTGTTGGGCAGTACTAGCGCCATCGCGAGTATAACAGTGAGACCTCATTCCTTGGTGCGGCGGTGTAATGTATCACATTTCCTCATGCCACAGAGCACGAACGCGACACGAACCACGTTCTTCTCAGACCCAAACTCCCCCATGGAGCCATACCACAGGTGCCGCACATGATATGGCCAAGACCAAGTGGCCGCGTCGGAGCAGCGATTGGGTAAAGAGCCCGTCACCTCAACTTAGATAACAAGGCATGCCACGGCAAGGCCGGATTTTCACTGCGTTTTGTCTGCCGCCACACATAATCACAACCATGGTAGCATGGTTTGCTCTATTTTTTTTCCCCCTGGCGCCTGTATATTCATAACCCTTGACTGCCGAATCCGTACCGAGCTTCCTGATCCGTTCGCTCCGCCGCATAAACTGCAACCTCGCGAGCCTCAATACGACACAACACCGAAACACAGCCAGACAGCCATAGTCCACAGGTCGAGGCAGGCATTGCCTCTCCGGGCTTCCAATTGAATATTAGTGTAAGCCATATTGTTCTGGGTAGGTTCCTGCCTGCACCGCATCCACGGTGTTTTGGAGGGGCCGATCCGACGCCAACTGGGCTTCCTCATGCGGATGTTCCAAGCTGATCTTCCCCAAAGCTAACCTCAGGTAAGATAGCTGCCGCTGCCGACTATTAACGGATCAAAAACGGCACCGTCCCGACGCATTGACGCGGGCAGCTAATGCCCACCGTCGTGTAAAAACCTCGCCGCCTTCAAAATGGCTTGTGCCAAGATCTCTCGAAAGCAGCGTCTGATTGCGACCATTGCCATTTCGTTCTCTTTCTTTGTTGCTGAGCTTATTGGTGAGTTTCGGTTTCGAGCCGGGCGAGTTTTGTTTGCTGAGACGCGAGCCAGCCGGTTTCTATACACACTCGCTGGCCCTCGTGGCCGACGCTTTTCACTACGTACGTGTCGTGTGTGCCCGTGAAGCGATGCTAACAATCACTGACATCTTGCAGTTGAGCGACTTGGCTGGGTTTGTGGTGGCCCTAGTGGCCGTTGTGGTATGACGTTGCGCGGTGATCGATAGGTGTTGTTGCTTACTTGCCCACAGGTCTCGGAACGGGTTGAACCGCCGCCAAAACAATACACATTTGGGTGGCAGCGAGCCACTCTATTGGGGGCATTCTTCAACGGCGTGTTTCTCCTGGCTTTGGGCGTCAGTATCCTCGTGCAAGCAATCGAGCGGTTCTCCCACATTACCCGTAAGTCCTAAACACCAAGCGCTGTGGGTGCAGGTGGCCGGCTCACATATGGGTTGCAGCTGTGGAAGACCCCAGGCTGGTCCTGATCATTGGCTGTGTCGGGTTCGGCTTGAACGTAATAGTGATGTCCTTTCTTCACGGTGAGTACACTGCTTTTGCGCCGAGAGAAAATTGAATGCTCACCTCCAAAGAACATGACCATGGCCACGGACACGGGCACGGACGCGAAGAAGGGCACGGACACTCCCGCGAGCTAGACATAGAAGAGGAAGAAATGGTCTTGCACAGGAACGATTTCAAGTCTGCAGCGCAAGCAACAACGGTGAGCCACAGTTCTGCTGTAATCGTTGGTTGGGCCAGAATTCTGACGTGGTGTGGAAGAGCCATCACGAGCACAAACACAACATCGCCAAGCCCTCTCGCTCCGGGCGAGACCTTGGCATGTTGGGCGTCCTCATCCACGTTGTTGGCGATGCGATCAACAACATAGGTGTGATTATCTCGGCTGTGGTTATATGGAAAGCTGAAGGAGAGGGTCGGTATTATATCGATCCTGCAATCAGTGTCTTCATTGCCATCATGATCTTCCTCACGGCAATACCACTGACCAAAAGGAGCGGAAGCATTTTGCTGCAAATCGCTCCTGGAGGTATTGACCTTGAGGACGTGAAGTATGACATTGAATCAGTGAGCGACAAACCGTGTATACCCGGGAATCCCCTGTGCTGACAAGAGCCCGCAGATCCCAGGCGTTGACTCAGTTCACGAACTGCACATTTGGCGTCTCGACCAGCATAAGTCAGTCGCTACGGCCCATGTAGTTGTTGACGATAGGACTGTTGAGAACTTCGGGGAAAAGGCCAAGGTCATCATGGAATGTCTGCATGCGTACGGTATCCATTCCGTCACGCTCCAGCCGGAGGTGCTGCCTCCATGCGACAACGAGACAACGATTGTTCGAAGCGTATATACCGACGGGGGACCGGCCCAGGTTAAGAAGCGGGTCAGGCAACGATGTCAGCTCGTGTGTGGGAAGCTATGTGACAGAATGAGGTGCTGTGCGACGGTCAGTGCAAGCTGACTGGCAGAGGCTCCGGCATTTTACCTTTGAGCAATATTCCACTGCTTGGCTAACAGATAGCGACTGTGAGGCTTCCGGTTTGAGTAGTGCTGTTTGTAGAGCCAACTTTTGCTAGCTGTAGAGCACATAGGAGCAATAGCAGCGAGAAGCAACGGCAGCAACGATAGCAACAAGCAGCGCGCCGCTGCCGTCCCATGCCTGCGCCAGTGCGCAGTAAAAATCGATGGGCAGCATGGGTAGCAAAAGTTGGCTCTACGAACAGCACTCCTCTCCGGTTTTTAACCTGGCTGTGACCTCATAGGTAGTTGAGATTAAGATCAGCAGTTCCTGCCCGTACTGAACCAGATTCGCTGTGAGTTGAGCGACTTTGTCAAAAGTAAAGACCTGGCCGTGTTCGACTGAGCTTCTCTGCTTTGCTGGTGACCAAGTCATTTGGCCTGCTGGCCATGTGCGCCGTAGCTGGATGCGCTGATGTGAGTGTGCCTTCGGTGAGCGATTGCCGGCGGCAGTTCCTGTCACTTGGACCGGAAATGTGGTGATGCTCTTCGTCTAGGCTCGTTTGTATTGGAGACGTGGGGTTCCCGTCCTGTTCAAGGGCCTTCCAACGGCACCACGCTAATATGTCCTCCATAGAGTTGAGAGGGAAGTTCTTCCATTCATTGAGCCGATCGCCTTTGCTATGGGATGTCGGGTCAAGCTGAACAGTGCCTAAGCCCTCGACTGGCGAACCCTGGATGACGCGATAGAGGGCATTCTCGGTTTCGGCCAGCCGCTTCTCAAGAGCGCTGACGAAGCCCAGCGGGAGACCCCTAATCCGGGAGCCACCGGATCAGCAAGGCATGCATCGCTCGAGGAAAGAACAAGGCCTACCTCTTCCCTTGATCGGCATAACGACACTGGGATGTATCATTGCTGCATTGCCCACAGGTTGGTCTCGAGGGGCCGTTAGTATACGGCGAACAGAAGCGTTGGCTCTAATCTAGTGACTTACAACTCACGATCGCACTAGAGAGGGAAATGCATGTATATGTAAGTATGGGGGCGGCAACAGCAACGACAGGCAACGCTCTCACCTTGCGTTTCTTGCGACGGCATGTCTCGCAGGCGATTGGATGGAACCTTGCCTGACCCTGGCTGCTCCTGGTGGACCGGCGAGCCATCGGAGTTGTACTCTTTCCCTTTGTCGTCGCAGACAGATGGAGATGAAAAAGGCCGATGACATTGGCTGTTGTGGTTCGAGGCAGTCGTGGACTCGTGGTTCAAGTCACGGGGACAAGCCGGAGGTTTCTTTGTCCGCCCCCGCCACTGTGTCGAACCCGGTGAAGGACAACACCAAAAATTCCATGCGCCTGCAATTGACGCAACGCGAAATGTCATCAATCACCATCACCGGTTATCGATCTGCCAGAAAGCTTTATTGGAGGTAGCCACCAGGCCATGTTCTGTTAGTTCGTGTCGCTCTCGTCGGCAGATGGACTCGCCCGATGCTGATTCCATGGGCACGCCAACGCCGCCGTCTTCTTTCGATTCCCCGACGAGAAAGAGAAAGCACCCTGGAGGGACCCCGCAACATGTCCGGGAATTTGGTTTGATGAGAGAAACCGCCGAACATGGCGCGGCTCGCTTTGTGGGGAGTAGCAGCGGGATTCACTTTGTACGCGCCGTCTACCAGAGGCTGGCCAAAAGATCAGCCTCGCGGACGTCTTTGACCGACTCCAACACCAACTTGATTCCCGGAGAGGATGATCAGCTTCGCCGCGGAGCCATTGATGGTGCAACCACGCTGTGGAAGGACAACGAGATCCAGCGTAAAGACTTGGAAGGTGGCGCAAGACCAAGTTTTGACCAGCTCGTCGAATGGTCGAAAAGCTACTTTGAGTTCTGGCATCCGGCGCTCCCCTTCCTCCACGGCCCCGACATTCTTGAGATATTCGAGCGCATTGAATCGCATGGGCTGGCTTGTCTGGACGAAGTGGACAAGTGCGTCTTGAAATCGGTGCTCTCCATCTCGCTCGCGGACAGCAGACACGCCTCTCATCCAATCCAGGCCATCCCTGAAGACCTTGTCTTCAATTCTGTACCGGACGCGGTTGCCTGCTCTCAATTCGCTCTCAATCAACCAGCTTCAGTGCGTGCGACACAAGCCGCGCTTGGAATCCAGCTATTCCTCACCTCGATGCTCTGTCTCAACAGCGCCTCCCGTCTCGGCGGACTGATTGTGCGAATGGCTTACCACCTTGGGCTGCATCGGTGCCCCACAAGATACCCTTTCTTTACTGCTGATGAAGCTGCTCTCCGACGCAGGGTATTCTGGTGTATGTACTGTTTGGAGCGCCTTCTGTGCCAGTCGCTTGGGCTTCCACTGGATATCCAAGATGATGACATCGACGTCTGCTACCCTGGGGAGGAACGGCATGTCACCAACAACCAACGGGAGTCAGAAGACCAGCACCTCAAGATGCTCAAGTATCTTGCGAAGCAAGCCCGGATACGCGGTCTCATCGTGGAGTTACGCAACAAGTGCTTGCACAGTCGACAGGACACAGCCGACCGCGCTACTGCTGTCCAAGCTGAATTGGTCAAATGGTCCAATGAGATACAGGACGTGGTAGAGGAAGCTGAAAGCGACAGCGACAGCGGTGGCAATGAGGATAGTAATGGCACTGTGGCCATTTCTCCGACTCATCGGCTGCTCCTATCGTTGCTCAAGTATGAGTCTGTTCTCTGTCTCAACCGACCGATGATGGCGTCCAGTCCCGACTCGCTAGCATATCAGGTCGCGGTGCAGGCCTGCATATCCGCGGCAAGGTCGATATGCATATCGATCAAGAAGCACCAAGGGACAGCTAGACACCAGCCCGAGCTCTCTCGGCCAAGTACAATTACGGCGCTGCTGTGGCCATCTCTGACATGGGTCGTATGGATCAGCGCCTTTGTGCTGCTGCATGCTGCTGTAGAGGACCAGGTACCACTTGAAAGCGCCACAAGGTAGCGCCCTTTCCGCTTTCCGGTATCGCAATCACTGATTAGAAAAACAGGCATGTACAATCCTGCAAGGCAGCTCTTGCATGGATCGCTGCGCGGGAGACATCATGGCCGGAGTACTGCCTTGAGGCAATCGAGGAGCTCGTGTCGACAGTTGAAGACATCATGAATCCCCGAAGCACTGATCAGTCCCCGCTCTCCCTCGCAGGATCTACAATTCGAAGACCTTCAGAGACCGCAGACCGTGCAACGCGTCGACTTACACTTGACAGGAGACGAAGCTCGCAAAGGCGGCGACGTGGCTCACAATCTGATTCGCAGAATGATCTCAGAACCCCTTACGCAGATTCGGCAGCCTCGCCAGATATGTCTCGAACAAGGGAGGAGCAACACAACCTCGCGCCTCCTCGGAGTCATGGACGTGGAGGTACAGCAACCGCAGTTAATACTTTTCGACAAGCCGCACATAGTGCGACAGCTTCCGAGGCAGGATTTGCCCCACGGGGTGCTAATGCGGCCGCATCAGGCGATGGGAGACTGTCTGCTGAACTCCCTGATGGGAGGTTTGCCACCACACAGAGCACGGTTGTTCTGGACCCCTCAAGTTCTATACCGCCAGCTTTCCCTGTTGAAGGACAGGAATCGATGATGTGGTTCGACCAGCTGTTTGCAAGCACATTCAGCGCCATAGACAATCCCTCTTTGGCATTTGCGGAATACGATGCATCGATCGATCCGAACTGGTCGTACCTTAGGTGAGTCGGTAGTAAATACAAAATGAGTTGCATCACACGCCATGTTTAAATACAGTGACAGTTTCCTCCTTCGTATGCTCCGCGCAACGCGGCTACCTTAATACGCGTCCCTCGTAACGCCTGCATCCCCTTGCTGATCCAGCTTCTTGTTCGTTCGGACCAGCCAGCCTCGCAGCACCCAAGTTGACGCGATGCACATGACGGCGAAGGCGGCGTTGCTCGACATTCCGATGAGATAGCGGGGTCCGTCGGACTTGGGATACAGATACGCCGTGTACACGTAGGACGCATTGGCGATGACATTGACGACCGACACGCTGACGGCCTTCTTCTCAGGCGTCGAGCCGAGCGTGGCCGACACCCACCCTAGTATCATCGAATTGACAGCATATGCGCCGCTGGCAAACATGAAACAGGAGATGTATCTTGCCGCTTTGTTGAGCGTCGCTGCAGAGATGATGAAGCCCACGAGCGCGAGGCCCATGCAACCGGTGATGTGCCAGGTCCGTTCGTTGTACTTTCCAGACGACAGACCCATGAAGTACCCGAAGAATCCGGAGACCAGGTATGGCGGGCAGGTGAGTACGAGGGTCAGCGTGTCGTTGAACCCCAGAGCGCCAACGACAGTCGGGAAGAAGTTATTGAAGGAGCAGGCCGAGAGATGCATGTTCTGCATGAAGCACAACAGCCAAAGGCGCGGGTCGCGCACTGCTTGGCTGAAGCCCGCCCTGACGCCCTTACTCTCTTCGAGTCCGACGGTGTCGCGCAGCATGCGATCATGCGCCAGTTGGCGTTCATCCGGCGTGAGCCACCGCGTTGTCAAAGGGCTGTCGGCCAGGGTAAAGAGAGCGATGGCCGCGACGCCGAAAGTGACCGCACCCTCGATGATGAAGAGCCACTCCCAGCCCCTGAGCCCGTGTGCCCCGTCCAAAGTGTTGAACGTAGCTGCGGCAATGAGGCCCGAAAAGGACGTCGCGAAAATGTTCCCCGAGTATAAAATCGACAGTCGCGTCGCAATCTCTCGCCGCGTGTAAAACGTCGCGAGAAGATAAAGAGCGCCGGGGTAAAAGGGTGCCTCCGCGACGCCGAGGAAGAAGCGGACCAGAACAAGATCGGTGTAGCTTCGTGCGCGAGCGGTGCACGCAGAGACAACAGCCCAAGCCATCATACAGACCGCCATGTAAATGGAAGGGCGAACCTTGGTCGACGACATGAGCATGTTGGATGGGATCTGCATGAGCAGATAGCTGTACGCGCGCTGATGTCAGCTTGTCCTGGCATCCTCTCAAACGAACCAGCCCATACTGAGGCCGCTGCAGACTCACTTACCCGACGAAAAGAACGGAGATGCAGGTGTTGTACTCTGTCCCCTTGAGCCTTAGGTCGTCTTCAAGTCCATTCAGACGAGCCTGGGCAATGGCATTGCGATCAAGCTGCAAAAAACAGTCAGCGATCAGGATCCACGCCTGGAGTGACGAGCTGCGTACGTAGTTGAGAAAGTACATTGCCCAAAGTGTCGGCATAATGCGGTAATCCAGCTTGCGAACAAGGCGGATCTCCTCCTGGGATGTCTTCTTGACTGCCCCCGAGTAGTCAAGCTCTGCCCCGAGAACACCCTTTTCGGCGCACAAAGAGTCTGCCTTGGCCGTCTCAATCATGTTGACATCGGGTTTGGGCTCGACGCCATCGGCCTGGGGTTTGCTTTGAGGTGCCATATCGGAAAGGAAGTGCTTTTACAACAGGTGGCAAGGGGAAACCGTGAATGCTACTCCCGGGCTTGCTCTCTCGCGGCTGTGAGAACACCAAGAATGCCAACAATGCTCAACCTCGAACCTCCGACTTATATGCCTGTCGCTCTACCTCTTACTGTTGGCACTGACATCTCAATGTTGTTGGTCTTGCCATTTATCCAGCCAACCCCAGATTTACCCCAGATCCGTGTGTGCGGGGGATGGCATCCCTGGAGTTGGTGGCTGGTGGCTGGAAGTTGGATTAGGCCGCGCATGATGAGCGAGCGGACAAAGACTCCTCCGACACTCATCCTGGCGGCTTCACAGTGAGGTCGACTGCGGGCACAGCGGGGAAATCATGGCCTGCATTGTGCATGGAGCACCCGATGGTCTCTGTCAATCGCACGCATTGCCGATATGGCTCGTAGAACGGCAGCATGGCAATGAACTCAGTGGCGATGGACAAATGGATTTGTATTCTAAAGTACATTGGTTGAGACCACGTTCCTGTTGTTGTCCAAGACAACCCTGATATGCTTCTTGCCCACTGCCAAAGGGCTGCTCTGAAACAGCGAACGCTCATTTAGGCGCTCCAAATATAGCTCATAAGCCGGCATGTATCCCTGAACAAACTTGATTACATCCTCCTTTGCCATTGCTGGTTTGCCTTTTCTTCGAAGCGCCTCCTCCTGATCCTCGCGCCAGCAGTAAACACGGCTCAGGTCGTCGGTGGTTAGATGCACGAATGAGTCGAACGTCTCCGGCCCCATGAACGTCTCGCAGTATCTCTTGAGACTGGCGTTGATGAGAAGAAGGTGCTCCAAGTCATGGAACTGTAGCGTCTCCGTGAGCCGCTCGGTCACCTTCTGCGTTTGCGAAGGCGGGGAGCTTTCACTCATCCGCCGCTTCTCTCGCAACTCATCCTCGGGTAGGGGCTGGAAACCGAGACACCAGCCTTCGAAGATGAGAACATCCAGGCGCTCGTCCAAGCTCACCAGCTCCCACTCACTAACAGGAACACGCCCTCCCTGTCCATTGTTGAGGCTCTTGTCGTATGCTGGCCACTTTATACGCGCACGGCGATCGCTCCCAAGTGACGGAGCCAAGACTTCCGTCAAGAAGCTCTGCGCGAGTTTCTCATCATGCGTGCCGGGCTGCCCACGAGCTTGTAGTAGTTTGTTACCAAAATTGTTTTGCTTCAAAGACAGTAGGTCGTCATGATCGAGATAGAGGTCGTCCAAGGATATCGTCCGAGTGTGGAGGTTGTGTTTGTCGGTCAGGCGGTGCGCGAGCGCCGCCGCCCAGGTTGACTTGCCACTTCCTTGGAGTCCCGACAATCCTAGGCAGAAAGCCCTCTCAATTTTCTTTTGATGTGAATCAATACTGGGAAGGAGAGCGGCGACAACGACGTCGATGCTGATTTGGTCGATCATTCTGGATCATTGACGACCTCAGTTCTCAACGCGGGGATCGTTAGCGAGACGGTCCGAACATCAAGGCCTCGCCTCTGTATATGACATAGTCAATGCCAGATACCCTCGTTCGCAGTCTCTTTTGTGTCAGTGTAATACCTAATTGGTGGCCTCCATGGAGATGCGCGGAGGTGACATATTCCGGCAGGTCCCTCCGGGGAAAGTCATCTCCGCGGACGTTTCTTTGTCCGGACATCCAGAACAACCCGGCGCGGGGTGCAAGCCGCCATGTCGCGTCAAACTCCGCGTTCGGCAATCGTGCCAACGAATAAATGCGTCGCGGTGGGAGTCGAACAGTGCAACCAACGAACAGACGATTGTGTGCTACACCTTGAAGTGACTGCTTCGAAACCACACCCGCCCAGGTCCATTCTCTCGACAAACACTTTGCCAAGATGCCGCCCGCCGCGCTGCCATCGTCTAGAACGTACAGCATCGCCGCCATCCCTGCTGACGGCATCGGACCAGAGGTCATCGAGGCCGGGATCGAGGTCCTCTCCGCTCTTGCTGAGAGTCTAGGATCATTCACGATTGACTTTACAAACTACGATTGGAGCTCTGACACATACAAGAAGACGGGCAAGTACATCCCAGATGGCGGACTAGAACAGCTCAAGAAGCACGACGCCATCTTCTTTGGTGCCGTAGGTGCCCCTGGTACGTTTACCTGAAATATTAGCAGTCCAGTACAACGGGGAGTGTGCATTGACTCGTCGATAGATGTGCCTGACCACATCTCGCTATTCGGACTTCGCCTGGCTATTTGCCAACCCTTTCAGCAGTACGCCAACGTGCGCCCGACTCGCATTCTCCCCGGAATCAGCTCTCCGCTGCGCAACTGCAAGCCCGCGGACCTTGACTGGGTCATAGTGCGCGAGAATAGCGAAGGCGAGTATGCTGGACAGGGCGGCCGCTCACACAGAGGTTGCGCCTGGGAAACAGCGACCGAGGTTGCCATTTTCACACGGCATGGCATCAGGAGGCTGATGCGGTTCGCCTTCGAGACGGCACAGAAAAGGCCTCGGAAGCTCCTAACGGTTGTGACCAAGAGCAACGCGCAGCGAAATGGTATGGTGCTCTGGGACGAGGTGGCAGCTGAGGTCAGCGAGGAGTTCCCAGACGTCACCATGGACAAGATGCTGGTCGACGCCATGACGGTGCGAATGGTGCAGAAGCCGGAAAGCCTCGACACCATCGTCGCCACAAACCTCGTGAGTAGCTAGAGGACATGCGTCTCAAGAATGTGGACACTGACTGCTTGGAAGCACGCCGATATCCTCTCCGACCTTGCTGCTGCATTGGCAGGATCCATTGGCATTGCTCCCACAAGCAATCTGGACCCCACTCGCGAGCATCCTTCAATGTTTGAGCCCATCCACGGCTCAGCGTTTGACATCACCGGGAAGGGCGTCGCCAACCCAGTCGCGACATTCTGGACTGCCGCCGAGATGCTCGCATGGCTGGGCGAAGATGAGGCGTCTGCGATACTGGTGAAGTCGGTGGAGAACATTTGTGCTCGGGGCATCGTGACACCTGATTTGGGCGGAACGGCCAGCACCAAGGAGGTGACAGCTGCTGTACTGACTGAGATCAAGGGAGGCTCGGCTAAGGTACGCCAATAGGCGGGGTTTCCAAACTGCTGTTTGATCACGGCCAGCCAAGGCAATATGCTGGGCGGCTGAGACGACACTGCAGGGCTATTTCACCATGATTCGTTAATGTAGGCCCTCAAGATCTCACGGTGCAGGATCTCAGTCGACGGCTCGTCGTCTACCGCCTAGGGTGCGTGAGGCCAAGCTCGACGAGCGCAGTCAGATATCACGTCACTAATCAACGAGGCTGCCACCGATGCGAAGCTGGATGTTGACTGCCTGCGGAGGAGCGTGATTTACCAATATGCCGCCAAGCTCAGATGTCTTCGAGTCGAGCCCAGCTTAGGGGCACCCTGTTACCCACTGCGGGCTCTACTAGCCCCGGAAGTGCCGTGTGGTAATGGATACGGCGCGATGGGTCGGCCCACTGACGGCGAGAATTGCTGGCTTTCCACTGTACGCCATTGGGCGGCGTAGGGCTGGGAGAACGGCGAGAAATGCCGCGGCCGCGGCCGACGGTGATCGGTTGGTCGGCCCTTTGGTGGCTTGCGATCTGGTGGTGGTAGGGGCGACTGAATCGCGGCGGCAACTGGCTGGCCTGTGTTGCCCTTTGTGGCAGCTGAGCACGATGTTGAGCTCCGTAGCCTTGCATTCGTTCATCCAGTGCTCGTCATGTTGGATCATGTATAGTGTACCCGAAGTATCGGAATCCCAGCACCCTGGTTGACACTGCGCGCGCCTGTCTCCCTAGACGCCAGAGCCGGAGGAAGAACACTGGTCGGCTCCATGCCTGCACACGGGGGCATCCACGGAGCAGTAATACGGCAGCGATACGGCAGCGAACGGCAGCCGGTTGAACATTGCCGACTGCCTCGGGCTCCGTCGGACACAGCGGCTGGGTCGTCGAGTTTGTGATGAATTTGGAGCGAGCGAGCCAGACCGGTCGAGTCAATGGAGCCCAATGGCATCCACTGGGTTGGAAAGGATGCCCGCCCACACCCTGGACGGCCCGCTTGTGAGGGGAGGACCCTGGCGCCTGGGTGGCTTTGACGGATCCCATCCAAGACAAGAGCTGTTCTCAAGCCACCAGAATGAGGCCCTGACTGTGCTGCGCAGCTCCGGCGTCCATGGGTGGCGCTGGAGCGACGGGGTCCGTGGCCGGGACCGCCGCCGCTTCCTGCCGAGCCGCGTGGTTACGCATGGGCAAGGCGGCAAAGACGGGCAAGATGGGCCGGAGCGCCCTGCTCGTCTGCCCGCTCATCTCCACCGGGCAAGCCAACCTGCCAAGGCAGGAGGGATCCGTTCCGACCCAAACCCACCGGTCGCGCGTGACGATGCCGGCACGGCAGCGTTTTGGCAGGTGCCGGGTCACGAGAGCGAGCCGCGGGAAGAGCCTCCCAGGCGGTTCCTTGTGGTACAGCCATCCGTACTGTACTACTGTACTGTACCAATATACTGTACAATACCGAGTGAGAGGGCATTGGTTTCGCAGCACGACAAATCGACGAGGATGCAGCAGCACAGGTAGTGGGGCGGCCTTGCCGGGTAGGTCGCACGAGCTAATGAGCTGCAGCGACGGGTCGGTCGGGGAAGGTTGTTGGTGGTGGTGTTGGTGTTGGGGGCTGCAGCAGCAAAAAAGTTGAGCTCCAAAGGCAGGAGGAGTCGGGTTGCAGGCCAGACGAGGGGGCGGGCAATGGGGGGTCAACGACAAGACGTGGAGGCTCCCATGCTCCTTCCATCCTCGCGCGAGCCGACTGCCTGCCCTCTGCGCCCCCGACGGCGTCATACCCGAGGTACCTTCTCTGTGACCGTCTCACCGCAACTTGCACCCTTCCTTCGCCCTGGCTGAAGGAGGCGGCGAGCGGTGCAGATGATGCATCGGCGCGCGCGGCGTCATCTGCATCGCACAGCTGGACAGGGCCGACAGGATGCGACTGTGCGACAGAAACAGGCAGCAGGTTCATCATGATTGCCATTCGCGGGCATGGCAACTGCAAAGGCTGGCCATCCACGGAT